ACCCGTAAATCATGTATAAAATAAAAAAAAGAGGAAACATGACTGTCGAACAGACACGCCAAGTTGCGAGTGTAACCTTGCCTCGGCCGTGCACGACAGATAGATGCAGAGGGACGGGGAGGGGGCCTAGGGTGAGCGCAGCTGTGTGGTGATGATCCGCAGAGGCAACCGGGGCGATCAGCCACACTAGCGAAGTCTTGGTTTTTTTCTTCCTTTTTGTCAATTGTCCTTTTTTGCTACCAAGACATACATATTCAAGCCAGAGTAGAAACCCTTGACCATCCGGGCCATGCGGTGAGTGGAGATGAGCAGCACATGGCAGCGGGAAGGGGTCCCCTTGACAAGAGCCAGGAGCGAGGAAAAAGCAAGTATAAACTGTCACAGGCTGTCAATGAGAAAGAAAATACACTTCTTAATCCACTACAGATAACAAATCCGGTCCCATTGTTACCTTTGCGCCGAGGTCTGCAAGGTACTGATACCGTGTTTTGGCCGTGCCCTGTCCAGATTACTGGCGACTTACAGCGGGCCACCCCCTGAAATACAGCGCCTTAGCACATCCCAACTCCCTCGGAACCCCTGTAAATACAGTGGTGAGACTTCGAGTTCTGACAGTTTCGGCGGAATTCAACGGCTACCCGTAGCCGGGGAGGGAGGGGGAAGGGGGGGGGGGGCCTTAACAAGATGACCTGTTCGTCGGGCTGAGACATGATTCTTAGCCTCGCGTTTCTATTCTGTCTCTTTTTACTTTATTTATTGTCCCCTTGTTCTTTTACCCCAGCCTCGTTCTTATTATTCGCATCTCGCTTCTCAATACAATACGCTAGCAATGTGGCCGTGCTGCGCTGGGTACACTATCCACGTCGCAAAAAGGCGTGCATATATAACAGCACGTATATTAACAACCACATTAACTATTTTATTGGTACAACAACTCGCTCGGATCCTGCAATGTAGTATTTCTGGGCGTTGACTCCTTAATTGCAAATACAGAGACTTTGTCAAAGCAAGAAAAAACTCCGACCGTGCCTCGATGTCGACAAGCCTCCCTCCGCGCCATTCAAGCCTCCTCCTAAAGACCCTGCTGATGCAAGCCTCGTATCCTCCGTTGATATTAACTACCGATACTCTGCGGAAACCACATTCCACATTCCGTAGCAACAAGCGCCTCTTTTGCGCTTTTCGACGGTTCAGAGTCAAGCTTGGAGCCTTGAAGCGCTGCGAACAAGTCCCTAAGTCCCTGTCCAGCAGCCTGGGCCAGTTCACAGGTCCAACATGATTTCAACCTTTAGCTACTGAATCCACCAGTTGTTACCGGCATTTGCAATACAGAACAAAGTATTTTGTCCATTTTTATTTGCCTTGTGCTTGGCGCTGGTCTTCCAGAATCCATTATACCTTCCCAAGTCTATATGCCACGTGTGTTGAAGAAGCCGGCTATGTGAGGCCCCTTCGACAAAACCTGGTACCCATGTCGAGACTTCTGTACTAGTATATCATCAGTCTTTATCGAAACTTTATCATTGACTGTTTTCTCTCGGAGTAGTCTTATGATTGGACTGCAAGAGCTTGGAAAAGCCAGCTCTACCAGTTCGGGGGATCGATTGCATTGACCAAAGAATGGCAATCTCGCTCGCCTTTGGGGTCCTAATAGTTGGGTACATTGAATCATAAGATACACATGATATTGCTCGTCTTATCCAGTAATATCTGGCGTCGAGTGACACCATGGGACTGCCAAGTCAGCTGCAAAACCCGACGCGCGGAGACGATTCATGCACACCACGGCGGCGCAGACTCTCGGGATCTCCTTCCAGTCCCCCCAATGACCGGACTTGCCCCGTCATCAACCATTATCAAATTAACCTGATGAATTAATACACTCAAATCCTGCAGCTAATTTCCGGGGGACCAAATAATCTGTAATCTATCTGCGTACTGCGCGCCCGCATTCTCAGGTGGACATCCACCTGCCCTCCTGCATCTATTGCCATCGTCGGGACGCACTCAACCTTGGCCGCCCTGGATGACAAGCTGTAAGCCCCATATTGATACAAGTTGCGGATGCCACCAGGGAGAGAGAGATGAGATGAGGGGAAGGGCCGGGGCCGCCTCGTCATCCGGCCCTTTGGGACTTTTGGTAATCGCTCCGTGAGATCTGGGAGAGGGCTCGTTGCATAAATTGCTTGCACAGACAATTAACCCGACGGTGTGACTTCCCAGACAGCCACAAACTCCCTTACCCATACTAAGTAGTCTTAAGAGAGCTGTGAGAAGTAATGCGCGCACTCTTTACCCCGGCATCCCTCATATGGCACAATCTGCTTAGTCTGAGGCAATCAACTTGGCCTTGCCACTGGCCATGCCACGCGTAAACGCTTCCATTCCCGGGGTGGGAACAACTAGTTATCATTTCCCAGCTTATGTATGGGTATTGCAAGGTCAAGGTATCTTCTCTTTCTCCCATTTAGGCTTCTTTCCCGGGACGATTTCCCACCGTCGGTCAAGTTTGATGATGATCCGACGTCAAAGAGGAGATGGCTGTCACTCTACGGACTATATGTGCTTGGTAGTTGTTCTCGCCGAGTAAATCCATATTCCTTGACTTAAAACCCGGCTTTTAAGAGAAGGAGAATCTCCGCGGTCATGAACGGATCCTAACGGGGCATGATGGATGCCTAGAATCACTCAGTCCAATAAGCCAGTCGGGCACGCCAAAGACCCAAAATATAGCAAAGCCACGAAAATGCGCTATATGCAAAACAATAATCCCTCGCTGTATGAAGGTGTCTCTGGATGTTGTTATTGGAGAATTTGAACTCCTCGGTGGCTTGCCTTACCACCGCCCAGCGTAACCACCGTCGAGTCATATCCAAGAAACACGCAAGACTAGCATACGAAGTACAGTGCACAGCAGAAGGAGGCCTGTCAGCCAGGTGCTACAGTTCCGGTTGCTCATTAGAATTGTTTTACGACGTTACGTTCACCCCATGCTGGCGGTAACACGAACTCCTACCCCAGGCCAACCATGACACATATGTACAACCCTCCTCAATCTCATGCCCTGCGACGGCAACATGTACATAAATTGATTAGGTATCAAAGTGTTGAAGCTTCCTACTAGTTGTCCCACCGATCTTCGACTTGCGTAAGAGCAGTCTACTTACGAGGAAACGATGTACAGCTCTGCGCTGCACAGTAGTGCTCCGGGTATCCCACACGCTACGCCACATGAGCAAAAGTCCTGTCGAGGAATTGCAGACCGGGATGCGTCGAGGTGATACTGGCACGCCTACACCTGAAATTAGAGGGTCTCTTCATCCGGGATGCCTCGTGCCCCCTCCAGGATAAGCCGACCATCATGTCGGAGGGGATGGATGCATCTCTCAACCCGGTAAGGCCCAGCGTCCGCGGAGCCTGGCCTCCAGAACAGTCGAGAACAAGCGGGTGTATGCATCTCTTTGCCTTTCGTCTCCGCTGATCTGTTCAGGTCAGACCAGACTCGTCCGATGTGAAATATCGCCGGCTGCAAGCTACGGGGCGGGGGCGCTCGTCCAGTGTTGATTGCAGTCTCCAGCCACGATACGCCCGATACTAAGAACTGGCACTTGTCAAAGCGTCGGAACCAAGAAAAAGAAAGAAACGTGTTGCAAGCCAATAGCGCCCCCAATTTGAAGTGTCCTCTCTGTGTTCGGAGAGCTAAGGGCCAAGGAACTGTTCCTCTCAAGGCAGGCGGCGAGGCTCTGGCGGGACTATTAGCATAACAGTAGCAAATAATACGCACAAGATGTATAATGGGGCTATTTGGGGATGTATTATTCGTAAAGGGTGGAGGGGTGTGCCCGTCCGCGCATCCTGGTTCAGTCCATATGTCGCCTCCTATAATGGACAATCAGTTAATATCGTGCCGTCCGTATGGTTGGGCGGTAGTCGCCAATGATTTTCATCCTCCAGGGCAGCCAGCAACTTGCAGCGCAATTTTCGGTGGCGACACATCCTTCAATGCTGGTTGCCTCGCCTTTGCATGCTTGGATGAAGTGCATTGACAGCAAAAAAGGTTCAAGGCAACAAGTTCAGGAATATGTGAAACTACAACTGTCAATCTCATCTTGGCGTGTGTGATAGATTGATGGTTCCGAGACTTCCGGGGGATCAGGATTTGTGTACAGGGCGAGACTCCCCCGGTTCCCGCGTTGCAGTGTTCTCCAGGCGTTTCAAATCGCATCAGAGCTGGAGAAGGCGCGAGCTGCGCGGCAGGTTTGGTCCGTGGATGGAGGGAAGAGGTGTCACGGTCTCATGCGTAGCCAGCCGAGTTTCATCCAAAACAATGCAGCTCGAGTCGAAACACGTTCCGGAAGGGCTCATCGTCAAGCGGAATGGCGATGTGCCGCTTTGCCTTGGTGCGTCCTCCCATCTACGGGCATGCGACGCTACCCGGTGGAGGACGAGTGCCGCTGTGTGAGCCGCCCGAGAGATCCGAAACAGCTATTCCAGAAGGAACGGGTATTTATTTGAAATTTTACGGTGTGGCACCCTGCAAGCAGATACGCCGTGGATCAGGCGAGACGTTGGCCGACGCTTGACGAAGTTGATGTCCCTGTTTGACAAGCCAACATCATTGAGTGCTCTGCAGTGTGGCTGAGCCAGCTGCCTCAGGATGTGGCTAGAGAGGTGGCTAGAGAGGTGGCTAGTAAGGTGGCTAGTACCAGACGGCTGGCTAGAGAAATGCCTCTTGGCTGCCTCTTTAGGACTAGGGTCGTGGCAGGTGGCGGCTCAGCCGTGCCGAGCTCGCCCAAGACCCGATTGCACATCATCAAACCATGGACTGATCTTGGGCAACATTCCGCAGGAAACGCATCCTTGCCCTGCAATGTGCCACGACTGAGGCGCTTCCTGTGACGCATCTTCCACTTAAGCGCGCGTCCTCCACTGGGTGTGTCGCCATCACACCTTCCGCAAGCTAGGTCATTCAACGAGCGCCGCTTTGCGCCGACAACGGGATGAGCCAGGCTGAGAATCCGACGAAACCCTGCCACAACTGCAGGCGGCAGCGGCTACGATGCGACCGCTCGTACCCGCACTGCACTAAGTGCACAAACGCCGGCAAGGACTGTCTCGGATACGGGAAGCTTTTCCGATGGACTGGTGCCGTGGCTAGCAGAGGCAAGCTCGCAGGTCGCACGTCGAGTGCTCCCGTCCCTGCAGGAAGCGCGGTAGCCGCCACGACGTCGTTGACGTCGTTTGCATCGTCTGGGGCTCCGCCGAATTATCCCGGCGATGTGTCGGCGGCGTCGTCTCCGGAATCTCACAACTCTCCGCGGACACCGCCACCCGGCGACGGTACCGCTCCTGAGCACTTGCAGATTGTCCGCTCACGAGCGACTTCTGTCGACTCGGAATTGAAAATGCCCTACGTCCTTATTGATCCGCTATATCAGGATCTAGGAAATTCTCACCGCTACTACTTATCATACTGTACGTAACTGCTAGTCCTTTGGTGCAACTTATTTCTAACAGAATGAACAGTCACAAATCGTGTCTGCAAGGACTTGGTTTCACAAGATGTGCCCTCTAAAAATCCTTTCCGCACCCTATTATCGCTCACAAAAGCGCATCCCCTGCTGCAGCACATTATTGTCGCCGCCTCGGCCGCGCACATGTCCAACCTCATGAAGGCCCCTTTACCCTCAATGCAGGAGAATCGCATGATTGCTTTCAATCGACACAATGCTTCCCAAAGAGCCCTGCAAGATGCATTGGTGGCAAAGCATAAGGCGCTGCTTCTCATGCACGATGCGGTTCAAGATATCGATGCCACAGGGGGCGATGTTGCTCTAGCTGCAGCTCTTTTCTTTGTCAATGTCGAGCTTATTGAGTCAGGAAAGCATGGCTGGAGGGCCCACTTGGAAGGCGCTGGCAGAATCATGTCCCTGCTCGAACCGTCAAGGTCTGCCGATAATGTTTTGAGAGATTATATGCTATCTGATTGTTTCATGTCAGTCACCCGTACCAGTTCAACAAACTCTGTTACTGACCTGCTGCAGCTACTTCATATTGGGCTCGGCTTTTATGCCTATCAAATTCCAAACCAAGTCATATTTCGAAGCTTCGCAAATTCCCTCGATTCTCAACCGGGCTGCTGCCAACAGCTACCTGTGCTGCCCACCAGCCATTCTTCAAATTCTTCATGGAGCTTCCCAGCTCTCCAACATGCAACATGATGCCATATCACCCGGCGAGATCGAAGCGGTCGGACTAGCGCTACTACATCAAGCACGCAGTTTTGATATCGTTGCCTGGGCGAATGATGCCAGGATAGTATCGTACCTTGAAGGCATACCAATAGAGAGTCGTATCCACGCTGGTTCGGCGCACCGTCTCGCGGCTTGTCTTTACATACTGCAGGCCGTGCCGGCGGTTGGGGCGGCAGTTGGACCTGAGTTTTCCCAGGAGCTGATTCGAGATATCTACGAGCATCTTGCAGGTATTCCCGACGATGACCCCAACTTCAAGGCCACAACCTGGCCTACGTTCATTGTTGGCGCCGAGGCGACGGATGAGCAGCAACAGAAGTGGGTCATGGACAGGCTGCAGCGCCTCGTTGTGAACTGTCCCTGGGGCTTCCTATACACAGCAATGGAAACGTTGCCAGTCATCTGGGGGCTGGACAAAGAGAAAGCGTCCCGTGGCTGGATTCAGACTCTCAAAGATCCCGATATGAACTTCCTCCTCGTCTGAGGCGCTAGGCTTCCTGGCCTTTCTGGCTCACATATGCCCCCCACATGAACTTCAGCTGGGGCGCCATAGCGTGAGATTCATACGTTTCATGATTTCACCACGCCTTGGAACCGCGGAACAAAGATGAAAGTCGAGTGCGTGCTGCCCTGTTCCTCTTCAAATAGTGTCTTGGACCGATTTAGTATTCTTGATGATGGCTGTGAAGACATCGACGGAACAGTCCCGTTCTGGCTCATGCTGCAGGAGCTCTTTCGCCGGAACATCACAACATGGGGTGCATTGTTGGACCTGCTTGAAACTATTTCCGTCACGCTTCGAGGGTCAACTGCTGCCGCTGGTGACTACGGATCGCTGCGACTAGCCGTCGAGAACGAACCATGCTTCTTTACGGATATCTGGCCGTCTATTTTGCGCTTTGCAATTGCTTTGCCGCGACATTTTCAAACTGGGAGCATCCCGAAACTGGTATCTGGACAAACGCTGAGACTCTCCCAAAGTCAGTGTGCATCACTGTTGGCTCACCAGTTTCTTTGTTCTTTCAAATCGCCACGGTCTAATTTCTACGACTTCAGTGTCTGGTACGATTCTAACCAGCGACTGCCCATCGCTGTTTCAGCATACCTTAAGTCACTTTTCACGTACTTTTACCTGAGGGCGACGCAACACCCAGACGAGATCCAATCAAATATGGTTGAGTACACTCTCTGGTCAGCAGACGTGACAAAGCTGTGCGCACCGAACTGGGATGGCAGGCCGCTTTCGAAGATTGGCATCAGAAAGCTGAGATTGCACAGTACGAAAATCCACAACATCGGCCACTTGGGGAGATCTGATGGGGTTGTCATTTCTGCAAATAAGGACATTGGTTTTGGCCAATCTGCGACACAGGAGGAACTTTACATTGGTGCTACCCCTGAGGCCTGTGTTGCAGTTCTCTTTACGCCACAGTTGAAAGATGAGGAAGCTCTGTCAGTTAATTTAGCACAACCCATGATTAAAATTTATGGCCAACGTCGGAGCATATCTTGGAAAGTGTACGACCCTCCGATGGCTGGTGGCCGAATGCTGCTGATGGATGCCCTCGAAATTGATCTAGTGGATCTCAGCACCTCAAGAATCGAAGGCGATGGCGGGTCGAGTCATATCCCGCTACCTGATTTGCTTGAGTGCAATCTCAAAAGAGAGTTAACCAAGGCCTACGCCGCCTTTACGTCCTGGCCCTCGAGTTCCGATTCGACCATCTTCACAGGGTTGTGGGGATGTGGTGCGTTCAACGGTGAACCGACGGTAAAATTGCTGCTTCTATGGATGGCTGCATCCATTACTGGGAGAGAGCTGCAGGTTGTTTTTGACGAAGCTGAGGGGGAGTATGCACGCTCATTCGAAGAGTTGGTCGAGCGACCGTCTCTACAGAGCGTATCGGATATCATTGAGCTGCTACGGTCGATAGCAAAAAGTACACCAAGGCTTGAGGTGATGCAATCACTCAAGGATACCTACTAATAGTCAAGTAACTCAACCAATCACAACATCACTTTTCTTGCATTTGTCCGAAGACATGATTACATTCACCGCAAATTTTAACGCAGCTAAACAGCTGCAGCTGAAGAAGTGCTTGCGATTGACTACTGACACTATATGAGAAGAGCTTTCCTTCTATTGATCTATTAGCTAATTTGCAATTCTACAGTTTCTATCAAGGACAGAGCTGCCTCGGGGCGCGTCGCTGTCTGTATTTTCAACTCATTATTTTCGCAACCCAACCAATATTTCCAGTTCCAAATGTCTTCTTGTAAACAACAACGACTCTATACCAGACTCTCTACCGCGCTGACAGCTGGAGCTGTCTGCGTCTTTGATGCTGTGCGGCGGAAGTAGGCACGCTTCATCCACTTCCAAGACTCTGTCCCAACCATCCACACCCCGACCGAGATGAAGACGACTGCCCACTCCCATGTGATGCCGGTATGCAAAAATACAACATGATTCAGCCCCGGAATATAAATGGTCGGGAACACGATGGCAAAGACAACCGTCACCGAGAAAAACAGGAATTTGTTTCCCCACAGGTGCTTTGCCCATGCGCCAATGCCTTTTGGCATGTAGAACAACGATCGGCGGAAGTCGATGAGCTCCCAAGAAAAGAGGAGAAAGATCCACGTCATTGTGGCATAGCACGTGGCACGCGCACGAAACACCTCATCGCAAGCGGGAGAGAAGTGTGTGTTGCAGTCGACGCCGAGGTTGCCATTGTCGAAGCCGAATATGACCACGGTGAAGGAGCCGAGGACGCAGCATGCCATGAGGAGGCCGTAGACCACCATGTCGAGCAGGAACTCGGGCGTGAAGACGCCATATTTGAGCTATCAAAAGTCAATGATTAGGCATTTGCACGGTCTTTTGTATGATCGAGCGCTTACATTATGGGGAGGGCGATTCAAGATATCCGGCACTGCCTTCTCAAAGCCCAAACCCGTCTCCGAAAAGGCGCCGGTGCCGAGGAGCATCCAGAGGATCTCAACAGGCGACAGCAAAAACACGGAGACGCCGTTGCGGTCCTTGAACGCGAGGCCGACGAGCAGCGCGATGACAAAGCCAATGTTGGCCGCGAGCACGTGCAGTATGAACTTTTGGATGTTGTCAAAGATGCGGCGCCCCTCCTCGACCGCGGTGAGGATGGACGCGAAGTCGTCGTCGGTGAGCACGATGTCGGATGACTCCTTGGCGACGTCCGCGCCGGAGCCCATGGCGATACCGACGTCTGCGCGGCGCAGGCTCGGTCCGTCGTTGACGCCGTCACCCGTCATGGCCACGTACCGCCCGCGACGGTGCAGCGCGGCAATCATGCGCACCTTTGTGCTGGGCGCGCAGCGGGCGACCACCAGCGGCAGCTCCGGGAGGCGGTCCAGCTGGGCGTCGGAGAGCGCGTCGAAGCGCTGCGCGGTCGTCATGAGCGGCGTGTCCGGGGCGGCGTCCGGCGGCAGGATGCCGACGTCCTGCGCGATGGCGCGCGCGGTCTGCGGGTGGTCGCCGGTCAGCATGTGCACGGCGATGCCGGCGGCGTGGAAGGCGCGCACGCTCGGCGCGGACTCGGGCCGTGGCGGGTCGTAGATGCCGACGAGCCCATGGAACGTGAGGCCATGCTCAAAGGCGTCGCGCGACGGGTTGCTATTCGAGGTGGAGGCAGGGTCGGCCGCAAGGACGTCGGCCTCGGCATCGTGGACCTTGTGCGCCAGAGCGAGCACGCGCAGGCCCTGGCTGGCGAGGGCTTCCATGTTGGCTAAGATGCTCGCCTTGGTGTTCTCGGTCAACGCCTGGGTGCCCTCGTTGACGGCGACGTTGGTGCAGATGTCGAGGACGCGCTCGACGGCGCCCTTTGTGAAAACGTGCGCCTGCTTTGATTCCGTGTCGCGAAACAGGACGGACATCTTCTTGACGTCAGAATCAAAGGGAAACTCGGCAAGGTGCGCCCATTTGGCGGAGGGGCCTTCGGAGAGAGTAGTTCGGCTCCAGCCGAAGCGTGATGCGAACACTTCGATCGCGATCTCGGTCGGCGCGCCGCGAGCCTTCCATTCGCTAGATCCCTTCTCCTTGGTGCCGTAAACCTGCTCAAGGCTGGCAAGGTTTGCCAGCGACGCGATGTTGAGGTACTGCTGGAGAGCAGTTGTTCCGGTCACATGCTCTGCTGGGATTATCGTCTGCATGGACGTGGGCTTCTCCTCGACCGGGCCCATCTTCCTGGGTTCTGTCGTCGTGAACGATACCTCGCCTACATTCGGGTTGTAGACTTCGTTTGTGGCTTCTACCGAGTACGTGCCGCAGGCAGGCAACCAGGCCTTGCGGACGACCATGCGACCTTGCGTGATGGTGCCGGTCTTGTCGGAGCAGACATCTGCACGAAGGTAAGCGAGCGGGCTGAGAGAGGACGGATCTGCGACTTACTGGTCACTCCGCCCAGAGCCTCGAGGCTCTGCAGGTTTCGCACGATGACGTGTCGCTGGAGCATCTTTTTCGTCCCTGCGGCCATGGTCACGGTGAGGACCAGGAGAAGGGATACCGGGATGGTGCCGACGGCGGTGGTGACGGCGTACAGGATAACGTCAGTCTGGGTGTTGAACTTGTTGGCGCCGAGGACGATGATGGCACAGACGACGGCGAAAGCCAAGAGGCCGAGAAAGAGCTGTGCGAGTTTTCTTTGAAGAGGGGTACCGACGGTCAAGCCGAAGAATTCGCCGAGGGCACCGATTGTAGATTTCCAAGCTCTCTTGAAGTAGGGATCTGCGGCCGAGTCTCGCGTGGGTTCCTTGCCATCGCTCTGAAGCGCTCGAGCGATAAGGCCGATTTCGGTAAACATACCGGTCGCAAAGACGACGCCACGACCTCGACCTTTGGTGATCGTGGTGGAGCTGAAGACGACGTTGAGGCGATCGCCAGGGCCAGTGTTGTCGTCAAAGACGAGCGCGGGGACCTTGGACACGGGAGCCGACTCGCCGGTCAGCAGAGCCTCGTCGGCCTCGAGGTTGACGGCCTCGAACAGGCGAATGTCAGCGGGCACGGAGTCGCCGGTGCCGAGGTCGACCACGTCACCGGGGACCACCTCGGCGGTCGGGATGGCGACGGTGGCGCCGTCACGGAAGACGTTGCAAGTGGGCTTGCCCAGCGTGCGGAGGGAGTCGATGGTGCGTTCGGCCTGGAGCGTCTGGATGTAGCCGATGAAGATGTTGGCGACGATGATGCCGCCAAGGATGCCGCCTTCGATCCAGGCTCGGATTCCGAGACTGGCAGCGAGTGCAAGAAGCAGTACCTACAGCGAATACGTTTAGCAAAACCCCGCAGCACACCTGCCAAGCCATCATGACGGGGACGTACCAAGGTCATGGCGTTGAAGATTTGCTCAATGAAGATCTTGAGAGGCTGCACGCCCTTTTTCTGCTCCAACTCGTTGCGGCCCGCGCTGGCGAGGCGCTGCGCGGCCTCGTCGGCGGACAGGCCGGATGACGGGTCGGTGCGGAGCTCCTTGAGCACCTCTTCGCCGGCCAGGCTGTGCGCCGGGCGGGACATGGGGATGTTGGACTGCCCGGAGGCATGCGCCGCCGCCGCAGGCGATGTCGAGGTGCTGCTGCTGGTGGTGGTGGACATTATAACGGATCGGGGGATGCCATGGATGGGGGAGGGAGGTAAGGAGACTTGGGGTTAGGATGCGTAAAGCTTGAACAAGTTGGCAATGAGGAGGGCAGGCATTGAGGATTATATAGAGAAAAACCATTCTAGAAACTGCCAAGGCCCAACACATCAATTTAGGCATTCACGGGCGCCGCGGGGATATTATTCGCGAAATCTCCGTGTAACCGGCCGGAATGAGTGCCCAGCGTGAAGTTTAGAAGCCTAATTAGGAAATAAATAGTCAGTGGGGCTCGGAATGATCCTCTTCGCCTATTTACAGCGAGGCTCATCTCAATCTCATCCCCACCATCCTCCATCTCCGGCCTACTGCCTTCTGTGCCCAGTCTTTTCTATTATTTCCATCAATTTCATCTTCTCTATTCTTTCAGTCTTGTTAAGCTGTTCCATCTTCCTTATTTTATATAATTTTCGTTATATTTTCCGTCGAACCTTGTATGTTCTGATCAAGCCTTACTGCTAGATGTGATGCTTGCGTGATAAAAGGAACATCTGTACGGATCTTTATTTTCAGGCGGGTTCTCTGTAGACGATCCATAGCCAACAAAGAGCAACTTCAGCCTGTTATCTAATAAAGCCCTGTCCAAGAGTCAGAACATTCGCAGTTACGGGCGGGCACCTCCCCACCAAGGCGGCACCTCCGCACACGCAAGTTACCGTACGGCCATTTGGAGATGAGCTTCTCACAGAGCCTTGAGCCTTGAGCCGGCCCCTCTCGCATTGCTAAACACTACAAGCAAGTCTGCGCCAGTGGGTGGCCGTGCCGGTGTGTGTAAGTTGTTAGTAGTAAGCACGAGACTGTGCTGAGCCTCGCCGCTGTCCCATCTTTCCAACGCGGTGCGCTAGACCATTTTAGGAAGCCAAGGCACATCAAGTACAAAGAATTGACAATTTGGCAGCGCAACTTTCTCCGATGACTACCTCGCCGTTGGCTATCCACGCCATGGCGAAGAAAGCAAAAATGCAGACGAGTTGTCACAGATTCTCAAAAGTTTCTTCAAGTTTTCCCAACAGAAACTCAAGGATCAAATTGCTGAAGCAGCAACATGGCCTCACGACGTTCTAACAGTGACAGATATGCATCTAAGTTCCAGCTCAGCTTCGGTATCACGGAAGACAAAATGGAGGCAGAAGGGAATTAAAAGGGTAGATTTCGGAGGAAATGATCACTTACCAGCCACGAGCCACCGTTGGGAGAATAACTTCAGGGATTTTCTGAGCGTCGCCACGCGGCCGGCGGCGTCGCTAGAAGGCTCTGCCATGGCCTGCTGCAGGTAAATGGACGCGGCCGTGTAGTTGAGATGTAGAACGAACGGTGAAACAGCATTCTTGACTGATTCATGCGCCCCAATGATTCTCTCGGCCATTTCTATCGTTGACGCAAGGACTGACGAACTCTCGGGAGAGCGGCCTGTATCCGAGTGGGAAGGGAGCTCTCGTGAGGCCACATTCTGAAGTGACGTGGGATTATCAAGGAGGAGAATTGCGCTTCATCTTGTTAGCACGAGTATCAAGCTGAATGGGTTTGCCTACTGCACCATACCTGAAACATGTCGACATTTGGGTGCAGAGCTCCAGTCTGCGCACGCGGGCTTCGAGACGTGATACGTGAACCAAGGCAAATATTGTGCGACGAAGCTGCGCGGAGTCATGCGAGCCTTCTGCTACATCCTTTATCGCCAAACTCAGCAAATGGGCTGCTTGCGCAAGTCGAGCAAAGCGGCCCATCTCCAAGGTATTCGCGGAGGTGAGGGTGCATGCATCTTCGGGCCCGGTTGTCTACAAAAGTTAGTTGAAAACAACAAGACGAACAGTTTGGGACCAGGGAGACTTACCCCATTATCCCAGTTTTGGTCATCTATGGGGATGTAATTGGACGTGTCGGGGTCCGGCGTTACGAGCTGGCGTTTGGGATTCGACAAGTTGATGAATCTGGACACCCCGCCGTCAATGAATAACCAGCAAACATGAACAGAGTCAAAGATTTCGTACCTGTCCATGGCAAGGATGGCCCACCAAACGCGACGACACTCTTCCAAGTCGAACGCCTCGATTTCGGGATCCGGATGCTCACTGACGGAGCTGTCGACGCTGAGGGCTATCGCGTACCGCGCACATGAGGCAATGGAGAAAAAGGCAGCTGGATAGATGCCATGTCCTAGCTCGTAGCACGCTATAAATATGCTGGCTTGAAGAGCAAGCAGCGAAAGAATGCCGGAATTCTGCACGGAGTGCTGAAATTGCTTCGTCAACTCGTACAGTGGTGTACGTGCCATCAAGTTTACCGCATCGCTGCTGAGCCGCATGGCCAGCAACAACAGGTGCAACTCAGCGCGGTTATATGTCAGCCGTTTGAGAAGCAGCTTGTAGAACTGAATCTTGGAGACTATGGGCATCCAGACATGCACTGTGGAAAAGTGCTTCTGCGCCGTCCCCCGAATGTCCGCAACGGTACCAACCGTGGCAGCAATCTCGTCTGTGAGCAGCGAGTCGATTTGCAGGGCGGGAAGTAGCAGCTGTGCATTCTGGAACACCTCCGGGTCCAGAAAATGCTCGGCAACAAGAGTCGATTGCTGAATCCGCGGCTGCTGCGGCTCAGCGGCCTCCCTGCTCTGGGTGCTCGCCTGTGACGGGCTTGGTGTGTTGCGCGGCGACAGAAGCAGTGGTGGTGAGAAAGCTGTGGACGTATTGGGCTGCTTTGGGCGGACTTGTCTGCGTTTTCTGCGTTGCGGAAATACACAGGAAATATTTTTCCTAAAATCGAATGATTGATTAGAGAGAGTTGTTTGTCAAACGACAGGTTGAAATCAGTGGAGGACCAACGGACTGCAAACAGAGCGTGCATTCTGGCGTCGCACGGTCGCATTTCCGCTTCGCCTCGCGACACTGCAGGCATGAATAGCGCGAGGCCGAATGCGCGTCGGAGCTTCGAGCAGGCATGATTATTGATGATGGTGAAGGACAAATAAGATGGTGCAGAGGTAGATGCGGAGGCGGAGATATGCGTCCTGATGGATCTTGCTGTTTACAAGAACATGCCGAGGTTTCTGGGGCGTTGCGGGGTTATGCGGGGTTATGCGGCATTGTACGGTGATGTGGCTTCATTCTATCGGCATGATGATCTGATCTCACCGCATTTATGATTTGCATCATTTCATGTGCCTTTTTATCTTACAAATGTCTAGTGCTTATAAATATTGCACTTGTCTGTTTGCAGCACTACGTTAGAAGATCGAGTATAAAGAGAGCCTCGAATCAGAGCTTCGATTGAAGAGCCTTGCTCTTTACACCAACACCAAGTGCGCTACACTACGCTACATTTGCTACACTCTCAGTATTCAACATGGCAAAAGACACTCTTCTTGTTCGTGCCACCTCCTGCCGAGCACATTTGGGAAATATGGACTGACATGTTCTGATTGAAACTAGTTCACCGGCGCCACCGGCATGATCGGCTTCAGAACCTTGATCCGGCTGCTAGAGCAAGGCACCTTCCACGTCCGCGTTGCCGTGCGCTGGCAGTCGAGCTACGACAAGCTTCTGACCTACAAGCCAATCGCACCTTACATTTCGCAGATCGAAAGCGTCATCGTTCCCGACATCACAGTTCCGGGCGCCTACGATGAGGCCGTCAAGGGCGTCACTCACATCATCCACGTCGCATCTCCCATCCCCAGCGCCCAAACTGCCGACTTTGAGACCGATTTGATTCAGCCCGCAATCCAAGGCACTGTTGGCATCTTGCAGTCTGCGCACAAGGCCGGCGGCATCAAAAAGATCGTCATCACGGCGTCTGTGGCAGCCATCACATCAACGCCGCACATCTCATCCGGGGCCACCATCAATGGTACGTCCGCGCTGCTAGAATATGTCATGTATGATACTAATGTGATGTGGAATCTAGAGGAGACCAGGACCACTGAAACCAAGAGGCCCTTTCCCAACGTGTTTGCGGCCTATGGTGCTTCCAAGGCGCTGTCGTTCCAAGCCACGGATGACTTCATCTCCAAGCACAATCCGGCGTTTACCGTAGTCAGGATCCTTCCCAGCTTTGTCATTGGCCGTGACGATACCGTGACCGACGTCTCTCAGATTGCCAAGGGTACCAACGGCAACGTCATGGGCTCTCTCCTCGGCCACGCGCGAGAGGGGAAGCTGTCCGGCGGCTCTGTGCACATCGACGACGTTGCCAGGTTGCATGTTCTGGCTCTCGATCCCGCAATTTCAAAGCACGACACCTTTCTCGCCAGCAACCCTGTGTCCATCGACTGGTCTGACTCCTTCGAAATTGTCAAACGTAGATACCCGGACGCGTACGCCGCTGGTTTGTTCAAGTTTGAGTCGATTCCCAGACCAGAGTCGGGCCCTTCGCACATTGACAGCTCCAAGGCGACGAAGACATTCGGCATCCAGTTCAAAGACTACGAGGAGCAGGTCGTGTCTGTCGTCGATCACTACCTGGAGCTGGTCAAGGCAAAGCAGTAAAGCATACATTTTGGTGGTGAGTCAAGGCTGTTGCGGATACTCTTGAGTAGGTAGAATTATTATAGATCAATATTCCAACGCTGTTCATGATACATTAATGCAAATGCCATTCTTGGAACGATTCAGTACTTTGACCAGTTGGTAGCAAGATGCTCAATGTACTTTCACATTATCTTTCCATTAACCCGTAATATTCTCAAGATTCTGCAAGTGTAAAACACTGTAAATCGATCTGCAAACCATCTGACAAATCAGCCAATCTTCCTTCGCCAGCTTATTATTATTCTAGCAACCCAACAAAAAAATCGGCACAGGACAGCCCCCAGCACAACTTTCGATCCCACCAACGCCTTCTCCCGATGCCAGAGCCGCGTCCAGCCGCACAGTCAATCCGACAAACCACCCTAGAGCTCGCCGTTGGCCTTGAGGCTCTCGGCGCTGGCGACCAGCGCATCAGCCGCGCTGCGCGGACGCCATCCCAGCTCGTCGCGCGCCTTCTTGTTCGATACCGGGCGCACCTGGCCAATCTCCGGGAGCACGACGGCGATACCCTTGTCGAACAATGCGGCCACGCGCAGCAGGAACTTTGGTGCGGGCAGGCTCGGCACGCGGCGCGTGTCCGCCGCCGGCAGCCGGCTCTTCAGGTCCGCCGCCATTTGCTTAATCGTCACATACGGCTCATCCGACACGGCAATGTAGCGCTGGCCCGCCGCCCCCGGCGCCTCGAGCGCCAGCACGTGCAGGTCCGCCACGTCGCGCACGTCGACTATGCCAAAGCTCATATCCGGGATCGCCGGCATCGCGCCGGACAGCAGCCGCCGCGGAATCTCCAAGCTCGTGTTGTTGCCGACGCCCAGCGCCGGCCCGCACACCAGCGCCGGGTTCACCGTCGTCAGCTCCATGCCCGCGCCCTCGTCGGCGGCCCAGTCCCAGGCCGCGCGCTCCGCGATCGTCTTGCTCTTGGCGTAGGCACCGACAGACGAGTGCGGGTGTTGCAGCTCGGTCCAGTCGGCTTCCGTAAAGGCGGCGTCGCGCGGGGCGTGGCCGTAGGTGACGGGGGCTCGGCCGCGGGGAACGGCGAGGCGACGTGCAGCACGTAGTCGACACCGGTGCAGGCCGCGTCCCAGCCGGCCTCACCGAGGAGGTCGACCTCGACGAACTCGATGCCGGCGACGGTGGACTCGGCGACGCCGGCGCGCCGGATCGCGGAGCGCACCTCATCGCTGCGCTTCAGCGAGCGCACGGTGGTGCGCACTCGGTAGCCCTTCTCCAGGAGCTTGTGGATGACGTGCAGGGCGATGAAGCCAGAGCCGCCCGTCACGAGGGCCAATTTACCATCGGCCATGACTTGAGTTGAGTGAATGTCGAATATTGGCTGCTGTCGGGCTTCCTTTCGGTTCACGACGGAGCTGCGAAGACAAGGCAGATCGACGTCTTACGTTTTTCGAGGAAGAGAAGCTCAACGTGAGTGAATTTTTGTCTTTTGACGAGGGAGTAGCGGCAACTACCAAGCACTTATTGTTACACTTTGATGCCGCAGGAATGGCGCTGGCTTAGACAAAGTCCGCAGAAGAAAACTACATTTTATCCCGAGACATGATAGAGAGTCAAGGTGAGCCAGCTCTGAGGTTACCTGCTCGCGATACCCCAAACCCGTTCGGACTTTGCACTTTTACAAGCCGTGGTGGATGGTATGATTTCGGTTATTAGAACACCGGAGAGATGGCAAGACTCCCGAATGTCGTCGATTGGACTAACAATAGGAAATAACTAGCCGACTCCGGGGTGGTTGGCGGCGGACTTTTGGCGGACCTCGGCAGGTTTGTCTACCGCGGCGCGTCCAAGAAGGGGCAGCTACAATCAGTACCAATTAGAATTGTATAGCTATCATTGATTTCAATTGCATTCGACACTGAGTCAAAATCCAAGCCCGATACCACCACCATCTCGGATTCAGCTTTCAGCTTTTACCTCAAGTTTACGTATGCATAACAAGTTTGACATTCCAGGACAGAGTCCTTTGCTTTACGTACATGTTTCAGCCTGTTGCTTCCTCGATTGCCCTACCTACCGAAACTGGTTGGGATGTGAGAAGCTATTTACTGGGATATTCCCTCACCAGTCTCTTGATTTCGCAGCAAGTTACCACGGCACAAACAGGGCTAGGCATATTCACAACTTGTGGTCAGATTCGTAATTAACCAAAAATAGTAAAATGACTAAAAAGTAATAGTAAGCCGAGGGGAGTCTTGCATTACAAAAAGACGTGCGCCCTCGGCAGAGATGGATAATATGCTCTCTTTCCAATGCCAACAAAACGCCTTCAATTCGCTTCTTCGCGACGAAACTTGCCACGCCTTTCGAGTGAAAATTCTCAAGACAAGATATGAGAAAAATGTATCGTAATAGTTGAGATGAAGCGCCCAAAGCAAAAACAGAATAGGAAAAAGAAGGAAAGAAAAGAGAAGAGGGAAAAATTGTGAGAGAGTGTCGTCCATGTTGGACCCTGCCTGTCTTAAACTCCCCGTGCTGCACTCTGACTCTTCCACTTCGAAACCAGCTCAATCGATCCCTCTCGTTAAATGTGTGGGGTTTTTGCTTATAATGACATGATTAAGAAGATGGAAATGAGTGTTGTTTGAAAAACAGAACAGCAACCCCCCAAGGGGGACTCTTGTCGTGCTCTTGTTGATCAGGTCTGAACGGACTTTGCCCCTCTGCCGAGAGATGGATTTATAACACCGGGGTCAGCTGTGCCCCCCTCATTCAATTCGTTTCATTCGTATAAAAGAGACAAAGAAAAGTTGTCTCAAGCCTTGACCCAAGCCTAGACCTTGATATTTCGTCGACGGTTGAGGAACGGACTGGGCATGTCGTCCCTTTCCGGATCCCAGACGGCGACGACATCCTCGTACTCGCGACGCTCGGCGGCCATGCGTTCACGGAAAGCAGCAGCCCTCTTGGGGCTCACGTTCTCGGAACCAGGCGCGCTTCCCGCCGCGCTGAGCGGCCGACCGCCGGCCCGCGCCTGCTGCAGCTCGACGAGGCTCCGGCCGCGCAGGTTGTTCTTGGCCGCCATCTTTCCCAGCGACTCGCCTCCGCTGCTGCTGTTGCTGGAGGTCACGGCAGAGGCGTCCTTCTTCACCGACCGGGCACGTGAGAGTGCTTCGCGCGCCGATGATGCCGGTCCGGCTGCCGGTGCGTCGCTCGAGTTGGCGACGGGGATCTTTGTTGGACTTCGGCTAGGCGAACGGGGAATAAGATCTGGCTGGGAGGCTGCAGCCTTAATGTTAGAGCCTGCTGGTTTCGCGCGTTGGACGGGGCACGACTTTTGGGAAGAGAGAATAGGCCGTGTCTTGAACGGGTTCTTGGACGACTTGATGTGCCTCGTGGGCGAGGGGCAGATGTCCTCGTCATCCGAGTCGACCAGGATAGGTTCGCGGTGAAGTTCCCATCGTGCATCTACACTTCCGGCAGCAGTGGCTGCAGCCGCTGCGGCAAAGATGTTGCCTGGCTTGGCGACCGGGGGCTTGGTGGCACCGTTGCGACGAGGCGACAGTGATAATGAGGCAATGGCAATCGGGCTTGGCGATGCCATCTCAATATCCATCGGTGTACCCGGCGGCCCAGCAAACATGGTCTGGGCCCGGGCAAACGGCGTTCGGGCCGGCTTCTTCGCTTCCTTGGATGTGTCGGGGCTATCCATCGAGTATTCGCTAATGTCCGTCGTTGAAGGATACTCGTCTCCGCTCGGTCCAATCGATGAATGGGGGTAGTCTGATTTGTTGACAGACGAGGCATAGTCGTCAATGTGCTTCTCTTCCTCCTTCTCAGCAAAGGTCACGGCCTTCTTCGCCAGTTCGGCGTCGACCCGGGCCTTGACCTCGCCTTCAAACTTCTTTTGCAGATTCTCCAGCTCGGCATTGACAAGGCGGTCAATCTCCAGTCGTGCCTTGACCTCCCACTCGAGGCGAAGCGAAGCGTCCGCGTCCTCTCGGATCTTCTGCTTTTCTCTTTCAAAGGCAACCAGTCGATCGTTCAACTCCCGTTCTTTCTGGCGAAGTATCTCCTCTCTGGATTTGAAAGACTTGTTCAAGTCGACTACCTCTTTTTCCTTTCTCATCAGTCGTACTACAGGCAGGTTCAATAGTTGAACTGTGTCCGGTCGCCGGTCAGGGTTCACCTTGAGGCAGTCTCGGATAACCTGGTTCAGCTCCGGGGAGTATATGTCAGGTAAAGGTGCCACTTTGCCTTCCTTGATCTTCTGGACCAACTGATAGTGTGTCTTTGCGTTGAAGGGGGGCTCCTTGGCACAGAGTTCGAAGATTATGCAGCCTAGCGCCCAGATATCCGATTTGAGTGTGTATTTCTCGGCCGCGCAGATTTCGGGAGACATGTAAAATGGGGTTCCAACATAGGTGGATGCGAAATCTTGAGACTTGATCATCTTTGACAGACCAAAGTCGCCAAGCTTGACTGAGTTGTCTTCGCCTAGGAAGACTAATTTTCGCCGTTAGCTGCAGTCTTCCTCGTAATACCTCCCAATCTTACCGTTTTCGGGCTTGAGATCCCGGTGAAGGATTGTCATTGCTCCAGCAGGAGTCTTTGGCGCGGACGCTACGCCCTGAGTGAGACCGAGAATATTCGTGCCGACTTCCGGGGGGTCGATGCCATAGTGACAGCGGTACAATGCAAGAACCAGCTGGCTAAAGATGCTCCATACGAAGCTCTCCTGGGCTCGCTGCCCTCTTAGTTGCAGGTCCTTGATGACCCGACCGAGGTCCCCGTTGCCACAGTACTCCATGTAAAGGTGCAGATCCTGGCTGGCCTTGAGATGCTCTCGGTGGTAGTAAGCGACGATGTTGTCGTGTCGGAGGTGGGAGAGGATTTGGAATTCGGCATGCAGCTGTTCTCGCTCTTTTTGGGACATTCGAAGGTACGAGATTTCTTTGCGGCACATGATGAAGCCGTCCGTCTTACGACGAACCTTGCGGATCACGCCAAATGAGCCATGGCCTACGAGGCAGGGTGTAAGTCAGTTGAGGGCGTAGTGGCATAAGCAAGAGCCTGAGTGCTTCGGGCAACGAATCGCAAACGTACCAATCTTCTCCAGAGTCTCGTACTTGTCCTCAGATGACATGGCGAATAATTCACGGCTGTGCCGACTAAATCGAAAGGCCCATGTAAGACGTCCCCTTGTCAATGCCCTCGTGGCCAGTAGATGCTAGTTGAGAAGGAGCGGAGGTGTTGCTGTTGCGGTTAGTATCTGTGAAGAGGGTTGTGAAGGAAGGAAAATAAGGTCTGAAAATAGGTGCCTTGTGCCATAAGAGTAGCAAAGTCGAGGCTCTCGTGCACCAGGTCCTGTAGCATCCCGGCTCGACCCACTGGTTAGAGACAGAGACCAGGGTGACGGCCATAGTAAACAGTCCTTCACGGTGCCATAGCAACCGCCGTTGCAGTGCGACCTAGCCACAGTGTAGTGCCTCATTAGGTAAGGCGGGTGCTTATCGATAGTGCGACTGTGGCTGCCACGCTACATGGCTCGTGCGCCAGTGGCGTAGGCGATAACTTACCTCACACCAGCAGGAGAAAGCTTTCCATTAGTAAACATCATAGACACCTCCATTGCATTGCCTCAACGGCTATTCTTTTTAACTTTATACTCTCCTTTCCTATTTGCGACTTTTTGGGTATTTTTTACTCCTGCGCCGTCAGTCCCGCGTAATTGAATGGGTGGATACGTCTAGGCGGCATTTCCTGGGTCGGCGGGCTCTAGCGGACAAAACTCCGACGTTCAAAATGGTAATGACAAAGTATGGCCTGGAGGGCAAGCTTCACGAGGAGCATCGATTGATCAAGGACGGCATATTGAGAGACGATAATCCTCTTGATCAGAGCAATGAGTTCAATGAATTTCTCATCGCCTGCCGTCATGGCGACCTCCGGAAATGCCAAGAGCTTATCAACATGGGTGTCAATATCAACGGCAAAGATAAGTTTGATTATACGCCCTTAATTATTGTGAGTTCCTACCTATCCCAGCACCTACAAGACTGACAAACTAATTTTGAAATAGGCCAGTCTCTGCGGCCATTATGAACTAGTCCAATTGCTACTAGAAGCTGGTATGTCTTCATTTGCCTGCCTACTTGCAAGTCTCACTGGCTTACCTTTGAGTAGGAGCCCTCGCAGAAAGAAACACATTCCAAGGAGAAAGATGTATATACAATGCCTTGAATGACCGGATACGGAACCTTCTGCTTCGATATGACTTTTCCAAATCGTCTGATCCTTTCGTCTACTGGTCGTCGCACATCACGGCCCTTATGGATCTGGAAACACCAAACACATCCGATATTACGCTCACCTCTGACAATCGTTCTTTTGAGTTGCACAAGTTTCTCCTTTCTGCCCGATCACCGTATTTTCGCAAAAAGTTGGAGGCCCAGCCGGAAACGGAGACTTGGAAACTCGCGACCGCGATCCCGGACGAGTCATTTCAAGTTGTCCTTCAGTACATTTACCTGGGCGACGTGCCCAAGGATCTTTCGTCTTCCAGGAACAATGTGTCGGACGAGGCCATCCTCACGGGCGTCGACAAGATTAGCAAGCAACTGGAAATTGACCACCTGTGGGAGGCTATCCTCGAGGGAAATGACCGCCGCCTTGCGCGGCAGCGCTACCAGGACGAAGTCGGGCGGGCCTTGAAACAGGTCAGCGACTTCTTCCAGGCCAGCATCATCGGCCACAAGATGGTCGTCGACACTGACCGAGTCGACGAGATCACCTGGAAGCACGGAAACTCCATCTTCGCCGACATCTTACTCCGTGCTGACCAGCCCGAGCACGAGGATAACGAAAACGACGCCGGCTCACCAACTTCGGCCACATCACCTCACGCCCCAGGCACGCCCAGCATCCCCATTGGCCCCGACCTCGCCGCGGCGCCGGAGCGTCGGAGCCGCAAGTCTGTGCTGTATCCCGTGCATAAGGCCATGCTAATCCGCAGCGACTACTTCCAGCGCATGTTCTCGGGCGACTTTGTCGAGGCGCGGCGCGGCGACAGGCTGCGCGTCGTGACGATCGACTGCAGCCCCGCGGTGCTCGAGCTCGTGCTCGCCTTCCTGTACACGGAGACAGTCGCCTGCCCGCTCGAGCACGCGCTCGAGCTGCTGTACGCCGCCGACATGCTCTTCCTCGACGCCCTCAAGGCCAAGGCGGCCGTGGCCATCAGCACCCTCGGCAGCGGCCGCAGCAACGCACTCGTCGACCGCACCCACGGCAGCGCGGGCAGCGACGAGAAGACGCCAGCAGCCAAGGATCAACCGCGCAGCAACGGATCGTCGCCCGATGACGTCGACGAGCCCATCAACATCTACGACGTCATCCACGCCGCGTGGGACCTGCGCGTGCAGCGCCTCGAGGAGTTCGCCGCGCGCTACCTCGCCCACCGTCTCGAGGACTACATCGACGACCCCGAGTTCCAGGAGCTCATCCGCGAGAGCGCCCACCGCATCCGCGCGCGCGAGGAGACGGACACGATCGAGCTGCTCGACGACATCCGCTACTACCTTTCGGAGCGCTTCCGCCTGCGCTTCGAGGACGCCAACCTCGACATCCTGGAAGAGGAGGAGGAGGTCGGTGAGGTTGCAGCTGCCACCGCTGCCGCAGCAGCCGTCCTTGACGACGTAGACGGCCCGCCGGCGGGCGACGACGCGGCGGCGGCGACGAATGGCGTGCACACACTAGAGGGCGAGGCCACCGAGGACGAGTTTGCGTCAGACGCCATCAACTACCAGGTCCTGCTGGGCAAGATTGACAGCATGTTGGAACGTCTGGAGCTGGATGCCTAAACGACGAATAGAAGAAAACGAATATACTAGAGGCTACATACTACATTACTACGCATTCATCGTTATTCATACTGCATTTTAACTAGAGATGGGACCTGAAGGTTAGATTGGGCATGGTGGACATTGAAAATATGCCGGCGTTCAACGCGGTCATAAATATACTTGCCTATATATATTTATCGTGTCTCATTCCCTTGGCACGAAACCCCGTCGTCGCATCTCGAACCAAACGGAGTCAAAGGGGGGTGCCCCGTGGCATTAGAGTTTTTGGAAAAGAGGATGGTATAAGCATTTTATATATGTCTTGCGCTGTGTTATTACTACAAATGGGTTCTTTTCGCTCAGCCCTCTCTCCGCTCAGTAGTCCACCGTCTTGAGGTTTCGGCGCAGCATCTCCGGCAGCTCGTCGACGGTCACGATGCCGTGCTGGACGCAGTCGCCCCAGAAGAAGAAGGCGCGACTCTGCGTGTAGCTCAGGTAGTCGAACTCGTCGACGCCCATCTCCGCCTCGGCCCTCTCGGCGACCTCGGGCGAGACGGGGCGGTTGGCCTCGTCGAGGCCGGGAATCTTGGCCTGGACGACGCCCCAAGCGGCCCACATGGCGCTGTTGGCGGTGCGCCAGAGGCGCGTCGACTCCATGAGCTCGCGGACCTGGGCGTCGCTCTGCTCCTCGCGGGCACGCTCGGCGGCGGTCCAGCCGCCAGCGGGGGCGCGCGCGTCGAGCATGAACTCGACGATGGAGCTGCTCGACGCCGTGGGCAGCAGCGCGGGCGTGCCGACAGCCTCACCGGTCCCGGCGTTGGCCGCCGTGTTGGCCGCCGTGACGTCCTGGGGCAGGATGCGCGGGGTGCCGAGGGCGGGAAACTGCGGGCGGTGGTCGACGTAGGCCTTGATAAAGCGGTGCTGCTCCTCGGGCGTCGGGTAGCGCTCCACGTTGCAAGCGTAGGAGGTGACGGGGTCGTGGTAGTTGTAGGTCCATTCGGTGAAGTGGTTGGCAAACTCGAGGCCGGGTGTGTTGGCGGCGGCGTACTCAAAGTCGATGACGATGAGCTGTTTGTGCTTGTTAGCGGCCTGGAGGAGGGGCGACTTTTCGTCGTCGGGGCGGATGCGCAGGATGTTGCCATATTGCGTCTGAGACGTTGTTAGTCAAGTTGGATGCGTAGGGGAGAAGGGTGGTGCGGGTGGTTTGGAACTCACGTCGGCATGGGCAAAGACTAGGCTTTCGCGAATCGCTTTCGGGCTCTTGTAGAAGCTGTCGAGGTAAGCTCTAAACTTGACCACAGCGGCCAGGAACTGCGGCCACGGCGCTCCACAGACATGGCCGTTGGCCTTCCAGGCATGCACCACCGAGGAGGCACGCGGACCCTCTGGAACGTTATGTAGGTCCTTATCGAGGAACTGCACGATGCGGCCGACATTATCAAGCCACTGGTCCCAGTTCTTCCAGATGCCAGGACCGGCATCACGCTCCGACGGCAGTAGGTCGATGCCGTCGTGCAGCTCGCGCATTCGCTTGGCAATCTGCTTCATGGTGTCGGGCTCGCGCAGGTCGCTGGGTCGCAGCGTGATGGCGTTGAAGAACTGCTCGAAGCGGCCGTTCTTGAAGGTGCCGAGCAGTCGGGGGCCAATCTTCTTGCGGGCTAGTCGTTGGAGGACCTTGAGCTCATTGTCGCGGTCAATCAGGTGCTCGACCTGCGGGCCATAGATTCGGAGGAGGATCTTGGGCGGCATCTTCTTGCCCTCAATCTCGGGGATGTCGGCGGGAGGCGTCACGACGTAGACGGCGTTGGTGAGGGCGCCGCTAAGCCGCTCGACCCAGATCCGGTGGCCGTCGCCGAGGGGCACGCGGCGCCAGCCTTTCAGTCTCAGGGTATGTGCGATGCGAATGATTTCATTCTTAAACACCAGCCAGACCTCCTTCTCCTTGGCGACGCGGGTGGCCGCGGCCTCGGGTTCCTCATTGCTCAGGGCGGTGCCAGAATAGACGAGCGTCTTAGAGTTGTCAAGCCAGGCATCGCAGCTGGGGACGACGACGTCACCCTCGGTGTACTCGGTATCCGAGGAGGCGGCGCGCAACGAGCCGCGGCGCTTGAGTTTGTTGTGCCGGGGAGGTCGGGGGCTAAAGTGCGGGACGGCCGTGAGGCCCATGGAGGACATGGAATCCTCGACGATACGCTGGAGGCGGTCGAGTGAGACATCGCTGCTCTGGGAGTCGACCGAGTCGGACCGCTCGCGGTTGGCTGGAGCAGCACCGGTATCGTCGTCGCGACCCTTGCGGCTGGCGGCGTCTTCGGGCGGGGAGGTGGAGGAGCGGCGCGGCGCGTGGTGGTGGTGCAGGTGGGTGCGCTTCTTGCGACGCGAGGCCTTGCGGCGCTCGTGGTCGAGCCAATCGCTTACCTGCGCAAGCAGCTTCTCGCTATAGTATTGGCGGTTGTTGTCCTGGCGGGCGGCGCGCGACGTTGCTAGGGAGGGGTCGTCCTGGGGTCGCAAGGCTGGCGATTGCTCGCTGATGGAGGAGCGTGAGGAGGAGACGGGCTTGCCGCTCATGCGCTTGCTGGAGCTGCCTACGCGGAAGAGCTTGGAGGCCTGGCCGGATTCAGCGTCGTCGACAAAGTATTCCTCGACAGGTTCGGCGATCTGGACAGCTGTTGGAGGGGAGCTGGTGGTCAGCAAGGCCAACACGCTTTGTAGAGGCGCCAGCACAAACACACACCTTTCAAGGAGCCGCTGACGGGAGGCGTCCTATCGCCTTCATCGTCGGCCTTGAGAGCAGAACGGAGGGGCGCGGGACCGTAGGCGGGAAACTGCTCGGACGACATGGTTGGGGTTGGGAGAAACAAGCAAGGGCGTCACGAGCCAAGCAGTGACGGCGCCAAGGCGGCACAGAAAAGAGGTATGGGTGGTGGGCAGCAGCTACAGCTACTGCACAGCTCAGTAAGTAAGATAGGAAAGAGGGCTGGCTCTAGACAAGCAGGTCAGCATGTTTTGCTCGCACAAGCTTGGCGAGGCAAGAAGCAAGTTTGACTGAAGAGGACGTCACGCGACAGGAACCCGAATGTGTGGGCGAGCGGGCGTTGGTCAAGTATCAGTTCGGGGGGCTGGCCAGGGTACGGCGTGGGCTGTCGTGGGCTGTCGTGGGCTTGTCGTGGGCTTGTCGCGGGACGGGTCTAGGCTTGGTGGGGGAGATTGCATGGTGGTTCGCTAGCTCACGACAGTTGGAGGACAGAATTGGACGAGCAGGTTGCCCCACGACTAGAACAAACGTTGGCAGCTGATTTGGTAGAAAAGTCAAACTACGTCAGTCAGCACGAGGGCGGAGGATTTACTAGTCAAGGATCCAATAATTCAGGGCTTGCTTTGCGCCTCCTGTCGGCTCTACCAAGGTACAGACGGTGAGTGTGCAGCTCTCGTCCATGACATGACATCGCCTCAACAGCCACGCCTCTACCTTGAACTCATTGCCTCATCTACCTGCCCAGCCCGTCAATGTTTGCCGTGATTTCTCCAATGCCTCTTCTCTCAACTCGCATGCATATTGCATCGAAATAGTCTCCCTTGATAAGGACCTAGTCACCAGGTCATCCAGGTTGTGCTATGTGCTGACAAGGGCAGCCACCAACAAGCGCCACCTTTTGCCCGGATCACGGGCCATCCACAGCCGCCACAGCGCTGTAACCCGGTGGTAAACAACCAGAAGTCCAGTAACAACGTGTGACTGGCCACTAATAAACCTCTAGAAGCCGTCGTCTCAGCCTGGTCTCGTCTGGTGTTTGGCCGCCACGGCGTTGAGGATGTAGTACGCTGCGCCTCATATTTCCCTTTTCTTGCCTCAGCACCTGTGTCTACAGCCAACATCCTCCCTTCTGTCCTCAAAACTTTCCCACAACGTCTTTTTTGTCAAGGGTCTTTTTCCCATGTCATCCTCAGCAGCTGTCTCGCGTGCCACCACAGAGGCAGCTAGTCTGCATCAAGCCACCGACAGTCCGTGCTTGGTTACCCTAATGTCGTCTATCCCGATAGTCCAGGGTTGAAAAAACTACCATGGGGGTTTCAATAATCTTGATAGAATAGGTACACAGGTTTTCTTTACAGCAATGTCGGCATTTTTTGTGGGAGAGTAGAATCTTTCAACATGGATTTCACTTTCTGCAACGGGATATCCGAAGCTCACCACATACGAATATACATATGCACACGCACAAATCATGACTATCAACAAGTACACACAGGTCGCAATTCCACCGCAGATCTTGTGTGGCTAAGCCACAGTGATTGAATTTACGTTTCTCAGTAAAAAGAAAATTATGAACCTCGGGAAAAGGGACGAAAAAAAAGTAAACGATGAATAGCAACACCTGGTCTCGATCCAGGGACCTACGGGTTATGAGCCCGTCGCTCTTCCACTGAGCTATGTTGCTTATTGCTTTTCGCTTGGTGGGATGCGGCACAATGTGAGCTATAAACCCTACGCCCGCAACCACAATGACTCACACTCCTTCCAAACTCTGCCCAAGATGAGTACACCTCACATGCATACATGATTTTAACCCCCTTACCATGCATATATATTCTAGAGAACGACGTGACCCCCTCCCCTTCACCTAAGCAGAAAGCAGCCACTCCCTCGAGACGTCCGCGCCTTCGTTCCGCAGCGCCCACACCACCGCGTCCACCACGTCGTCGACAACCACCGTGGGCTTGTACCGCGGCTCCGGCTCCGTCTCAGTCGGCTGGAAAACCCCGGTGCGCACCAGTATCGACTCCCAGCTTGCGCCGTCCCTCGGCGCGAACTCGTTGGCCCCGCGGATGTCGCTCTCCGGGTTGTCCCCGACCATGTACACCCGCCGTAGCGGCTTCCTCCCGCCGTCGCCGCGCAGCAGCCGCTCGTGCGCATACTCGTACGTGTGCCGCGACGGCTTGCCCAGCGCGCGGTACCTTAGCGGCGCGGCGCCGCCCGTCACGCCCGCCCACACGCCCTTGAGCGCCTCCAGGAACGCGCCGGTGCCGAAGCGGTTCACCGGGTGCTCCGTCCGCCACACCAGGTCCAGGTTGGAGATCCACAGCGCCGGCTGCCCGTCCTGCTGCCACCCGGCGTCCGCGAGCGACGCGTCGCCGTTGTGCGAGGACAGCGTGCCCAGGTAGCCCCGGTGCGAGACGAGCAGGTCGTGGATCACCTGGATGTCGAGCGCCCAGTCGCGTGGGTCGTTCCACACCAGGATCTGGTCGACCTTGAGCGCGTCGGGCGGGATGGACCGACTGTACGGGTCCGTGATGGCGGCGGCGCTCTTGCCGTCGGGTAGCGGTGACGTCTCCTTGTGGAGGCTGTCGCGGAGGTGAGCGAAAGGGTAGATGTGCGGGTTTGCCGCGATCAGGTCCGCTGGCGTCACCGCTCGCTGAAACCCGTATCTAAACACACACAAGTCAGCGCGTTGTCATTGTTGCGTAGAGGTGTAGACTAGTGCTTGCGAGTACTTACTGTCTGGCAAGCTGCCTTGCCGTTTCGGGTTGTGATGCCGTGATCAGCACAGTTCCGTTCTTCTTAATGTCGTCATCCCAGCCTCGCATTGGCGTATGCGACAGGATGACTCTATCCTTAAGCACGTATTCAGGGTTCTCAATGCCTAGCCGCTTCGCTAATGAAGCCGCCTTGGCATTCTCATGGGCGCCACCGCCGTTCGTCAAGAACACGTAGCGTAGCCCTTGCTGTCTGATTTTCTGCAGCATCTCTCTCGCACCAGGGATGCCTTCTTGTCCCTTGTACAGGACACCATCAATACTATCGGTGCACTGTCAGTCATGGTGCCAAGCATGTAGTAGAGCTTGGCAGGTATACGTACTCGAATGCAAACGCAATATCCGCAAAGGCAGGGTTAATCGCTGGCTCGGCCCCATTCGTAACCGCCGCGATAGACTCATCTTTGCCCAAGGGCTTCCTCTCACGGAAAGTTTGCGGCGTGATGCTAAAGGCCCGATAGTGTACCGTCTTTGGAACGACGTTGGCGGCTTCCGCGGGGGCGCTGCATCGGAGGACGCCGGCCTTGAGCAGTGACTGGCAGCGCGGCCCTAGACGCGTCCCAAGCACCCTGCCGTGAACCATCTTTGCCAAACCTTCCCTTGGGCTTCTAGTTGTTCCAGAACCCTTCCTCTGTCTCGCCAATGTCAAAATGTGCGCTTAAGGGTTGTGAGTTGGGAATTGGTGAGACCAGATTGGTAGCTTGAGAGGGCGCTGTCCAGGTGAGGTGGCCTCCGACTCCACCAACCGGGAACTACGGCCGGGGCTCGTGCCGCGATACAGGGATGAAACAATGCGATTGGCTTTTTTGGACATGCATAGACAGTATTTTCACAACCCCTATCACGCTCTAGTACTTCACATTATTATGGTCAGAATGTGACTTTAATCGTCTCTTTTCAGTGCCGCCAGTCTTGCGACGCTCAGGGTCGCGCAAAGCCGACATGGTATTTAAATTCGTGGAGTTGACTGTTATACACTTTGCCTCTTGTACAAGTGCGAGGAAAAACTACAGTAGTATACAATTCTTTCAAGCAAGCGGCCCCCCCTGCCGTCTTCCCTCTCTACCTCTTAGCCCAGTCCTTCATGTGGTCCAGGATCAGCTTGGCACCCTCGTCGGGCGAGTGCTGGCGGCCGAGCGCCTCGACAAAGTCGCCGTCGGGGTCCATGAGGTAAAAGTATATGCTGTGGTCGACGAGGTAGTCCTGGCCGGGCTTGACGTTTTGCGGCGTGCTAAAGTAGACGCGGTACTTTTTGCACGTGTCCTTGATCTGCTCGTACGTGCCCGTCAGGCCGATGAAGTCGGGGTGGAACTCGGCGAGGTAGCCCTTGAGGGCCGCGGGGTCGTCGCGCTCGGGGTCGCAGGTGATGAAGATGGGCAGCAGGCTGCCGGGCGGCGCGCGCTCCTTGACAATGTCGAGCATGCGAGCCATCTTGTCGAGCTCTTCGGGGCAGATGTCGGGGCAGCGAGTGAAGCCAAAGTAGACCTAAAAGTAGAGAGCGGTGCATGTCAGTTTTTGCAGTTTCTTTGGTGATTACTGACCGTCATGCTGGGTACTTGTCGCTTACCAATGCGTATTTGCCCTTCATCATCTCGCTGGTAAAGGGCTTGCCGTCGTGGTCGGTCAGCTCAAAAGAACCGCCGACCAGCGGCTTGCCGACACCCTTGTTGGCCTCGGCGATTCTCAGGCGCTGCATGCGCTCCTTTTCGTGTTCAAAGTACCAGACTAGGACGCCGCAGGTCGCGACGAACAGCAGTCCGGCCTTCCAGGAAAACGGCTATGAATGTCGTAACAACTTCGGTCAGTCTTGTCCGTCACGTCGGAGCTGCACAGTATTCTTTCAGAGCGATTCGTTCATACCCCAGTGCTATGCCGGCTCTTAGCCTGCTCGACGGTGCTGTACTTTGTGCGCTTCTGCGTCATGGGAAGTCGTGCGCGGACGCTGTGGTTGATGGCGGCGGCGCCGGACCGGGCGAGCTTGGTCTGCAGCGCCGCGTTAGAGAAGCAGCGCTGGCACTGCTGCGCGGAGCTTCGGACGAGCGCGCTGCGCATCGCGGCGATGGATATTCTGGAATGCGCCATTGTCGTTTTCGGTGTCGATTTTACCCAAGGCAATTATGGCGGACGGAGGATCAAGGGAAGCTCTGTCTCGCTGGTGGTGAAGCTAACAGTAAATTTGCTTAGTGATGTGCCCAGCAGGTTCCCGAACATCTTCCGGGAGCTTGTTCCTCACTGTGGCGCCACTTTGGAGCCGCTGCAACCACCCACCAGCCTCACACAGTTTGGCGCGCGACAGTGGCGCGGGCGCTGTGGCGCGTGTGCTGTGGCATCCTTTGAGTGAGTCCTTCCTTCATCCATCCAACTCACAAAAATCTCGTGAGAATTAGGCCGAAAACAATCTTTCATGAGCATCTTATAAAGCATGCTGCATATCGTTGGTTTTTCTGATTTCTAAAAAAAAGCCCCGCCGGCCGGAAACAGGGGTTTCACTTATTTATCATGGACTCCCTATACTCGGACGACTCTCGCTTTGAGCCAGACGTCTTCATCAAGAACGAATCCGCCGCCGCCTCCCCGCGCGCTGCCTCCCCGCGCGCCGCCTCCTCCACACCAATCCCATCCACGGAGACGGGCGATGCCACGCCGGCATCAACGCGCGCGTCACCCCCCAAGAAGAAGGGCACCGCCGCCACCGTCAAGAAGGCCCCCGCCAAGCGGCCGCCCAAGTCGACGACGCTCGCTACCGCCAAGAAGGGACCCAAGAAGGGGCCCAGACGCGGCGCCGGCGCCGACGACGCCGGCGAGGGCGACTCGGACAACGGGCCCTACTGCCTGTGCCAGGGTCCCGACGACCACCGATGGATGATCTGCTGCGAGGGGTGCGACGACTGGTTCCACGGCGAGTGTATCGACCTGAGCAAGGAGGTCGGCGAGAACCTCATCGAGAAGTTCATCTGCCCCCGCTGCACCACCAAGCAGCTGCGCTCCGTCTACAAGCGCAGCTGTAGCATGGGCACCTGCAAGAAGGCCGCCCGCCTCGGCCAGGCGCCCCCGAGCTACTTCTGCTCCCCCGAGCACGCCCAGGCCTGGTGGGAGCGCCTCGTCGCCCGGCTGCCCAAGACGGCGGCCGGCGGCGGCGGCCGGCTGACGGACCAGCTCTCCCAGGACGAGTTCATGGCGCTCCTGTCCAGCGGGCTGGCGACCGTGGACGAGGAGGGACACTGGGCGCTGACCGCCTCGCCGTTCACCACCAGCGACGCCAAGGCGATAGCCACCGGTAAACTTCCCCCGCCGTTTTTCCGCATCGTCGCTATCTGCTAACAAGTACTTTCTCTCCGCGCGCGCGCAGACAACAGCAGCGACTCCATCCTCAGCGACGAGGAGAGGGTCTACGTCGAGCAGGCCGCCCACGCGCGGCGGCAGCTCGAAGCAGAGACGCTTCTGTGCCACCAGATGCTCGCGCTCGTCGAGCTCGCGCAGGAGCGCCGTCGCGCCGCCGTCGCCGCGGGCCGTCTCGCCGACGACATGTGCGGCTACGACCCGCGGCTCGACACCATCTCTGCGCGCGACGCCTTTGCCGCGTACGCCGCGTCCCCCGAGGGCGCGGCCGCGCTGGCACCAGGGGGTGAGGGCGAGGCCGACGACGCGCACGGCATGTGCGAGCGCAAGCGCTGCAAGACGCACGCCGGCTGGCAAAAGAGCCTCCCGCTGGGCGTCCGCCAACAGATCCGCGAGACGGCCGCTCAGTCCGAGGTGGAGGAGGCCCGGGAGCGCCTGGTCCGCGAGGCCGCGGCGGAGCGCTGGAGGAGGAAGCAGTCGGAGAGGAACTGGGTCGAGGTCCTCGAGGACTGAAGATGGTCCTTTGGGAAAAGGGGGGAGAAAGCGGAAATGGAATTTGGCTTTGCTCATGGGAAGGATCGGCGTTATAGGATTGGTTTTTTGTTAAAGAGGCGGCGATACCCGGTGGTTTCCGGTTGTCTGCAGAATAAACGGCCATAGCTTGCGACAATGAAATCATTCAACAAACCGAGCTAGCCAGGTATGATGTTATCGTGGCATTTTGCTCACAATCTAGGCGGCAATTACATCCCTCGACTCCCCAGTCTTCCGGTCTTGGTCACCCGCCACACCAGCACGGTCAAGACAAATTGGAATCCGCCGTAGACCAGAGCCAGCATGAGTGCGCACCAAATCAGCGCCCAGACCGCAAGCCTCAGCCTCGCCATGTCCTGGCTGCGCTGCGCCTCCTGCAGCAGCCGCCGTGCCTCCTCCCTGTCGACCTCGGCGGCATCGCTTTGTAGGGCCGTCTCCGCGGGCGTGCGGCCGCTGTTGTCGACGCGGCCGATGTGGAAGAGGCCCCCGACACGCAGCTGTAGAAGCAGGGCGCGTACGATTCCCGGATCGCATCGCTGCGCCGCCATGTGCAGGACCGTGCGACCCTCGGCGTCGGTATAGCAGAGGTGCGTACGGGAGTGCTTGTACCGCAGCAGGAACTCGACCATACGTCGGTCACCGTTGGCCGCCGCATATCCAACGGATTGGTGAGCCGAGGCCGGCAGGGGTGACGCCGGGTGCCTCTTGGTGCCCCAGATGGCCGCTCGGAGCCGCCGGTTACTCCTGGCGGCCTGGATCAGCCGCTCGACAATGGGCATGCAGCCTTCGCCGGCAGCCAAGCAGAAGAGGTCGTTTGCCCACCGCTCTGTCACCATGATATCGGCTCTTTCCTCGACGAGCCCGAACAGTTCGTCCCAGTGCTTACGGTACACTTCTTTGACGTGCGAGTTCTCTGCACCCTCTCCTTGAGTTCCATGCGGGGTATCTCGGTTGCCCTGCTCCTCGCCTTGCTGATTTTCTTCTTTCCACTTCTGTATAATAATGTGGAGGCACTGAAGCATCTGGATTTCGTTCCTATCCTTGGAGCGATGACTTGTGAGAAGAGCTTTCAGTCTTGAGAACTTGTTGTACTGGAGGAGCACGCTGGTTGCTGTGAGGAGCGGCTCGCTCCCGTAGCAGCCCCCATCGAAACGACCCTGCTGCAGAACCTGAATCAAGACATTCGTCGGCAGAAAGAAGGCAGCAACAACTAGTGGATCAAATTCCGCGTTATTGAGTTCGTATCTCGGCTGCCAAGTGCAGTTCGGACGACAAATCTGCTTGGTCCAATTATCAAGCCGTTGAGACTTGTACTTGCACAGCTTCTCTAGGTTGTCCAATGCCAGCGTTTCAGGCGATTCGTCCTTCTCCATGTGGTCGACCCAGTAGCACGAGGCATATGCGAAGAAGCCTCCGAAATCACATTCCTTTGGTGTGTATTTGGGTAGACTCTTCTCATATATGGCGTTTTGCTTCATTGGGTCAATCAGCTGGGGAAGCTGCGTGACCAAACTTTTGCTGTCTGCAAACAGACTCTTCTCGTTAATGTCTTTGAGCAAAAGATATCTGATGCATACATCCTTCATGAACTGCTCAGGCCGGAATTTGGATGCTGGGAGGGGTGCCTGAGCGCTTGCAATATCCGACCCAGATGCATTGCCGTATGCGATGATGAATTCCTTTACAGATTGATGACCGAGACGTAGCTTGATCTTGAATCTTTCCTCTGAATTTGGATCAAACGTCGGAGAGTTAATTTCGAACGTTGGAGACTTGATTTCCAATGTCGGAGACTTGATTTCGAACTTCGCTGGCCATCCTGTATCCGTAGGGCTTGCCATCAGATGGGCATTATTTGTGGCGACAGTTCCGGCGGACGAATTCAATTCGGTGATAAAGGGCCGAATCAGTTGCCAAATTCTGTCGCAGTCTGCTTCCATCTTGATCTTTGCTATTTCTATTTCCTTGTCACTCTCAGACGGTCGAGCGTTGGCCATCGACGCGCCCCAGGCGAGCTCCTTGATAGTCAAGTCTCGCCTCGTCGAGGCCAGAATCTTGAGCGCCGACCACGCGATATCCGTATTGCAGCTGCAGCCAGTAGTGCAATGACGGAAGAGATTCTGATACATGTTGGATAGCTCATCGGGCAGCGGCATCTCGCGGAGGAAGGCCTCCATTCCCTCCTTGAGCGTGATCCTACTGGACCGAATTGTGCTGACGACCATTCTGATCCAGACAGCGCAGCCCTGTGCCTTGTAGGAGAGCTTCTCTGATACATATTGCTTGATCTCTTCCGAGTAGTCTTTCATGTTGTCGTTGATTTGCTTCTCGACAATGAGTCTGTCTCGATCCGAGCCGGGGCGGAGATGAACTCGGTGTACGCTCTGGTCAGCTTTCCCGGAGACCACAATATCGGTGCGGGAAGTAAGGATAAACCTGACATGAGCAATCTCTCCTGATAAATTGTCGAGAATTGTCAAAAGAGCGGTCCGCGAGACGTCATCACATTCATCCAAGCCATCGATGGCGAGCAGCACAGGGCGATCAAGTCTCTTCACAACGCGTCCAAGATACATCTCTAGCTCTTTCGGGCTGGCAATGGGCTCACCCAGGCTAAAAGCTCGATGACTTTGACACCATTCTTCAAAATCCCTCTTTTGGTCAGTGACTTGGTCAAGTATGGCCAAGATGAGTCCGCGGAGAACAGATAGCAGGTTACCAGAATCGTCGTCGCAACAGTAATAACTGCAGATGATGGGGGTGGTGCCCTGATCCTTGTGCTGCTCCTTGCCTTTATTGAAGAATTTATCCACCAGGAAGCTCATGATGACAGACTTGCCGCATCCAATGCTGCCTGTGATGAGCACTCGGCCTGGGCCTTCCATGAAGAGACGCGTGTAAATATCGTTGGCATCAATCATGAAGCTGCAGGCCTTGTCCTCTCGTACCATCTTCAGCTTATCATGGTACCCGTATTGCGTGGATAGTGCATCAGCTGCCAGGCGCTTGGATACTACCTTGTATTAGCCTCATAGAAGCAGCATCAGAACCGACACTGGCAACGTACCTTTTTCATCCAGGTCATGGTTTGCCGAAGCCTTGACGTGATTGGCCGTGAATAACTCGATATCGCACTCGAGGTATTGCACATTGGCAATAAACCCTTTCACTTTTTCGGACAGGCTGTTGTTCTCACCGCACAGGCTAATTGCCATCATGACACTGTTCTTTCTGAAAATTCCACGTGCTTCAATGTAGTACTCCAAAAGGCTGCGATAAACTTGCACGAGACTCTGGTTTGGTTAGAAGGGCGCGAGAACGGACGAGGCAGTAAAACGGCTGTAACAAACCTTGAACATGGACTCTTCGGGCTGCCCATCGCTAAGATGTTCGCATCTATACACGTGCTCCAGCTTCCGCAGCATCTTCTCTTGTTCATTGGCTAGCGCGCTGCCAGACTTTGAGATTGCTACAGCCATCTATACCAATAGTTAGAGTCTCAGCCAACCAGGCATGCTTCTACTTTGAACTTTGGCTTACCGTGGCGACACCCTTTATGACAGAAATGGCAGTCGATGCAGCTGGGTGTAAGCTGCCCACAAAACTGATGAGGTCTACCGCGAAGGCAAACCCTTCCAAGAGTGGTTGGGCTTTCTGAAATTTGCCTACGCTGTGCAGGAGGAAGTTGTTCTGCGTTGCTCCGTCATATTCCTCATCAATCTTTTTCAACAGAGTTTTCGCATCGTCCTCGTTCAAGACATCATCTTGTTCTTTCGCAAGCTCTTCACACGCTTTCTCGTACGCTTTGCTGCGAAAACTGGAGGTTAAAACGGCAGGCACGCTCGAAAGGTTCTGGGCGGTCGTGGAAGGATCGTCTCCGGAAACGGCATGCGTTTTTGAAGAGACATCATCATTGCTCGGACCAAGGGTTGATGCGGAGGAAACAGTGTCAATGGATAACACCGGAAGATCGCAATCTTTGACAATGGCGCTCGCGTCTGGATGCTCGTTTGTAGGCGAGACAATAGTGGACTCATTGTCGGGCGGAGTGTTGCTAGACGCGACGACGTCTTCTTCTTTACTACATCTAGGCATGGTGAATAAATGTCTCTGTTTGATCGAATAAAAAACTTACTTTCCCGCTATGCTTGGTCTCTTCTCGAGTGCAGATGGCGCGTCGATGGTAGGTCGTCGTCGCTCAGAGACTTTGCGGCGAGAACGAACTCGGCGGAAACCTCGTTGTATCTTGCTCTGAAAGCTCTCAAATGTTGGTATCATTTCTACATAATCGTACTAAATCAACGAGAACCTGGAGCAAAAAGATGGACAAAGGTGTGCCAAGAGAAGCATGCTTCTAGACGAGTGGGATTGGCCGTGTGATATACCTTGACACCCATACAAATCACCAAACCCATCACTTCAGCATCGCATCCTACAGCAGTATGCATACATCCCTGTGCTAATAATAGAGATCATAAGCCCTTGGGGAGGCGCAGGGCTGCAGGCCGCGCCGGGACGGTTGTGCCTGTCACATCACCATCTGTAACTCATAGAGCTCCAATATGCCCTAGCAATAGCTGCCCGGAGCTCTTCTTGCAACGTTTCATGGAATAATTTTGCAACCCTGGGTGCAGAATCAGGCTGTACTGGTTCTATTTACGGGTGTTTGCCCGGGGCGTAATGCTGGCAATCCACGTGGTACGTACTTGTTGTCTCGCGTATCAATCACCAACATGCAGCTTGCTGCTGCCGTGAGACCCTCCTTCGGGAAAATTATTTCCCTTGTTTTTCTTGTCTTTACACTCTCATATCTTCAGCCCCGAAAACTGCAGAGTCTGGAACCAAGCCCTGAAAGGCGGGGTTTCTTCCACGAATGCGGAGGCTGCCCAAGGAGGGTGTAAGTGCCGATCGACAACATCATCATGCACCTTCTCGGCTTCCCCAAAGAGTTGCGTGCGCCATATCTTTTGGGCCGCCTCAGACAACCTTCCTTCATCTTACACGAGCAGGGCGTAGAATCTGTGCAAGCCTTCACCCCACGACGGCCACCGAAGTGGCTCGCGCGGCTGACCACCAACAAAGCGCCGCCTGGCGCGGCTGACTGTCTTGCTCGGCACCAACCAACTTCACGTAATGGATGCCTCCTATCATCAATCCAGAGCGCTCCTCGCTACACCTCCTCAACACCACAGGGCCAGAAAAAGGCAACCAGGCTGAGACACTCGCGCATCAGTTTCCCTCCTGTAGCCATGGTCACAGGCAGTCTCCGACAAGTTGCCTTGGACAATGAGGCAGTCTCCGACAAGTTGCCTTGGACAATGAGGGGAAAGCAACTCTCAGCCTGATTCGGGCGAAGTGTACTACAGTGGCCATCCCAAAGGTGGTTTTGCTGAGAGCGACTTTTCGATTTTGACGATATCGTACCGCCAGGCAATCCGGAGATGATCCAGCAGGTCCTGCAGCCAGCTGACCTGGATTTTGCAAGCATAAACTCCTTGAAAAATCTTGTCCCAAATCCATATCCCCCAGTTTCCCAAAATAAATGGATGGCTGGGAAAGCTGCATGTCCCTGCCCATTCTTGCGAGGCTGCATGTCTCTGCTTATTTTTAGTAGAGGCGATCGTTTCTTTTTTTTTCTTGTTCAATGCGAAGAAGGGTGGCCCGGAATGACCAGGATTTATTTCTTAGCAAGGTCTTTTGAGCTTGCAAGCGATTGCGCCTGTTGCTCGGGACACTGCGGTGCGGAGAGTTCATGATCAATCGGAAACAACGTAAACTAATAAGAGACAAAAAGACAACAGACGGACTGACAACAGTAGGAGAGCCAAAACTCGAGGAAAACGAAACGGGAGAAATTGACAAGAAAAGTGTCATTTATATACAGCTCCCTCACACACTGAGTGGCTTGCTTTCTACATAGCCAGCTCATGCCGCCCACTTCTGGCAGCATTGAAGTCTTTTCTAGCAAGCTGGTTAAAAATCCGAAAATCCTCGTTGATCAAAACGACTATTATTACAAATGTAATCGCAGACTACAGCGTGCGTAGAGTCATATCCAACTCCGGGGTGCCACTGTACTGAGCACTACACGCGGAGCTATGGTGGGACAAGCTAATAGCGGTAGACAACAGTGGCGGACCTTGTACCTCAAAAGTGCATCACCAATGAGGGGCAATTGGCAAAAAAAAGTTCAACCCCACCATAAAGAAAAGTGATTATCAAGCATCCAAGCTCTTCCATCTGCTAATGAACAACTACATCTGCCGCCCAGGATATCATACGGATTCTTCCGCAAGGGCTGGCTGGCTTCTCTCCCTTTATCTTTCCCTCTTCCTAACGACTCCTCCATCCATTTCAGCGTTTTGTTTATTCCTACTTCCTTCAACCCATCAAGATGCCCTCCGACACACCTGCTGAGCAGCAACCTGCTCACGCCGACGAGGACCTCGACGTTCTCGCCGCCGACGATGCCGCCGAAGAAATCCCCGACGATGACGACAACGACATGGCCATGGACTCCGGCGACGACGACGACGCCGCCGCTGAGGAACTGACCCTCGCCAACGACGCCATCGCCTACTTCGACGAGCCCCAAGACTCGCTCTTCGCCATCGCCCAGCACCCTCTGCACCCGTCCCTCGTCGCCGTCGGCGGCTCCGCGGGCGCCGCCGACGACGCCCCCGGTGCCGGCTGGGTCTTCGACACCTCCGCCGCGCCCGTCGCCCTGACACCGCTCGGCGAGGCGCAGGAGGTCGAGGAGGTCAACTGGCTGGCGGCATGCCCTTCGCCGGACCACCCCAACACGGTCGCGCTGGGCGCCAACGACGGCTCCGTCTGGGTGTACGCGGTCGACCCGGCCGACGCCGCGAACCCGCTGCAGATCGTGCAGTCCTACTTCCTGCACACCGCGTCGTGCACCGCTGGCACCTGGACGCCCGACGGGCGCCTGCTGGCCACCGTGTCCGAGGACGGCACGCTGCACGTCTGGGACGTCTGGGGCGCCGCCGCCGCACGCGGCCTCGGCGACAGCAACGGCCAGACCGCCGTGTCCATGACGCCCGCCGACCAGCGCTTCGAGGTCGAGGGCGGCCTGTACTCGGTCGCCGTCGACCCCAAGGCCACCTTTGTCGCCGTCGGCGGCGCCGGCGGTGCCATCAAGATCGTCTCCCTCCCGCGCCTCGGCACCACCACCTCACAAGGCAAGAAAGCCGGCGCTGACCTCACGGCTGGCGGCCAGATCCTCGCCTCCCTCCACACCCAGTCCGACGGCGTCGAAACGCTTGCCGTTACGCTGGCGCAGACCACGCCGGCTACCGTGCTGCTGGCCGCCGGCTCCGTCGACGGCTCCATCTGCGTGTACGACGCGACGCGACGCTTCGCCGTCCGCCGCCACATCGTCGGCGCGCACGAGGAGCACTCGGTCGTCAAGGTCGAGTTCGTCCGCGACTCGTGGGCGCTCACCTCGTGCGGCATGGACGGCGTCGTCCGCCGCTGGGATCTGCGAGGCGGCGCGGCGGCGGGCGGCCCCGGCGCCGTCCAGGCCTCGGGTGCCGCGGATGGCGGCCTCGTCAAGGAGTGGAGGGGCCACCGCGGCGATGGCGAGGGCGGCGGCGTTCTCGGCTTCGTGCAGGGTCAGACGGGGGAGAGGGTCGTGACGGCAGGCGACGACGGCGTCGCCCTGGTGTTTGAGGCGTAGAGCAGTGGGCGGTCTAGATGCGAGAGGCAATGATTACATGAATTGATAAGAGAAGTTTTCAGGCCGGGAAGATTTGGGCTTTCTGTTTTAGAATTAATGGGTTTTGGCAGTGATGAAAATTACACAATGCGATATGAGTAGAGGGAAATACAACCTAAATGACAAAGTATTGGGTCGTTGACCTGGACATAAACTTCCAATTCAGGCACACAACACATGCACATCAAATCACAAAGCATAATAGGGACAATAAATCGGGGTCCAGGACCCTTCAACAGAAATGCATTCTATCGCACATCTGGTTCTCTTGAGAGTCCAATTTGCAAATAGCAATTGGTCCATGACGGACAGTTCGCAGCCCGCCAGGCTCCCATGCGAAAAGCAATAGGCCTCTGGAGAAAGTGCCCAAAGACACAGTGTGCGTCTTGACCGCAGTCCAAGAACGGGTATCTATATTAATCGTCAATCATAAATCGTTAGGAGGGCGGTTTCCGCGCCCTTGTATTAATTGAATCGAACAAATGTCCCAACGTGGCGTCAGTCGTGTCGTCGTCAATCGTATCCCCGGTCCTTGGTCGCAGCTTCCTGGGTCCAGTTGCATGCAACCCACGCATGGTGGGAAGAGGAGATATCCGGCCAAGTACGTCAGCCGTAAGTATCCAACGCCAAAAAGACAATGTCAGTCTCGTGTGATTGTCCTCTTTCTTTCCCAACCAGATGAACAAAGACACCTTTTTGCCAATTGCCAAGTGAGATGTTGTATATTGGGTCTCGCTTAACAAACAAAAAGTTTGAAAGATGAACAGTAAAATCAAAACCCAGAGCGCAAAAGAGAAAAGAAATTCAAAATCCGACGGTGTATTTTTCCCAGTTCATAAACCTTGTTGAAGAGTTTCGAAGAAAGTGATGTTAAAAGTGCAATCCAAAAACGCGCGCAGGTGATAAAACAAAGAGAAAAAAAACATGTCCATGAAGGGGAAACGGAAGAACACTGGTAGTCTGCCTGGCCCAGGTTCCCGTTTCATCTCCATGGCATATGGCGGTAGTCGGAGTGAGGATGCTGCTTCTTACACAAACAGCACCGTCTGCCCAACGTCAAACCATGTAAGACTGATGTAGTTCAAACACTGTGTCTTGCAGTCATGTCCGATGCGGGTTGCGCGAGCATGTGTCTTTATTCAGCATGCCGCTTGAGTCCCTATAGCATAATTCAGAGCTTTCTATTATTCAATGCAGAAAATCGCAATGCTTAGTTGGTGCCAGTAGTGTCCTCGACAGGAGGGCAGGTGCAGAAGAGGTTGGTGTCGCCGTACTCTGCGAAATTGGTTAGTACCCTGCATCTATAGAGCCAGAAGACTTTGCAACTTACTGTCGTCAACACGCGTGACTGTGGGCCAGAACTTCTTCTCGGTGAGGTAGGGCAGAGGGTAGGCAGCCTTCTCTCGGCTGTAGGGGCGCTCCCACTTGCCGTTGTCGCCGAGAAGCAGGTCGAGCTGTGTGTGAGGCGAGTTCTTGAGGACGTTGCCCTCACGGGGCTGCTTTCCCTCCTCCACTTCGCGGATCTCTTCGCGAATGCTGATGAGAGCATTGATGAAGCGGTCCAGCTCCTCCTTGCTCTCAGACTCGGTGGGCTCGATCATGAGAGTGTTGGGCACCGGCCAGCTCATAGTGGGGGCATGGAAGCCGTAGTCCTGAAGACGCTTGGCGATATCGATAGCCTCGACACCGGCAGTCTTCGAGAAGCCACGAGCATCGATGATGAACTCGTGAGCGCAGCGGCCGTTCTCGTTGGTGTAGAGAATGGGGTAGTGGTCCTTGAGGCGGGCAAGGATGTAGTTGGCGTTGAGGAGAGCCAGCGAAGTAGCCTTGCGAAGACCGGCATCACCCATGGTGGAGATATAGGCCCAGCTAATAGGGACAATGCTGGCGCTACCGAAGCTGGCGCTGGAGACAGGAGTCTGGTTATTCTGGTGAGGCAGGTATGGCTCAAGGATATCCTTCACGCAGATGGGACCGATACCAGGGCCACCACCACCGTGAGGAATGCAGAAGGTCTTGTGGAGGTTGAGATGGCAGACATCAGCTCCCAGGGCTCCAGGAGAGGTGAGGCCAATCTGAGCGTTCATGTTGGCACCGTCCATGTAGACGAGGCCACCGTGCTCGTGAACAATCTCGCAAGCCTTGCGGACCTCGGGCTCAAAGACACCGTAAGTGGAGGGGTACGTGATCATGATAGCTGCAAGCTCCTTCTCGTGCTTCTTCGCCTTGGCCTGGAGATCGGCAATGTCAAGGTTACCAGTAGCGGTATCGCACTTGATAGGGACGACACGCAGACCAGCCATAGCAGCAGAGGCAGGGTTGGTTCCGTGAGCAGAGGTAGGGATCAGACAGATATCGCGCTTGCCACCGTTGTGCTCCTCGTGGTATTTGGCGATAGCGCGAAGACCAGCAAACTCACCCTGGGCACCAGAGTTGGGTTGCAGCGAAGTGGCATCCATACCGGTGAGGGCGGCAAGTTGGGCAGACGTGGCAGCAAACAGCTTCTGGTAGCCCTTGACACCGGACATGGGGGCGTGAGGGTGGATGTTGGAGGAAGACTCGGTGCCGATCAGCTCCATCTGGGTAGTGCCGTTGAGCTTCATCGTGCAGGAGCCCAGGGGAATCATGGAGTGGACCAGGGACAGATCCTTGGATTGGAGGTGGTGCATGTAGCGGAGCATCTCAGTCTCGGAGTGGTGAGAGTTGAAGACAGGGTGCGTCAAAAACTTGGACTCTCGGCGGACAGCCTCGGGGAGGGTCTTGATGATCTCGTCCGAGGAAACCTTGTAGCCCTCGGTCCAGTACTTGTTGGCAACGTCAACGTAGGCGTTGGTGTGGTTCTTGAAGGAGACGTCGCGGAAGGACTGGACAATGCGAATATAGTTCTTTAGGGTGAAGGTAGTGGGGACGGCGAGGACAATCTCGTTCGAGGACCAAGACTTGCCACTGCTGATGCCGCGGTCGTTAAGCTCACGGCGAAGTGCGCGGCAGACAATGGGGTCCTTGAAGGAGATGGTGACGGTGTCGGAGAGAACACGGCCCTCGGGGTCGACCGAGGAGGTGATTACGTTGAGACCGTAATGCTGAGCAGCAGCCTGGATCATGCGAGCGTGGCGGAGGTTGGTGACGGCCATCTCACGAAGCTGGCCGGGGCCGTGGTAGATGGCGTACATGGCAGCCATGTTGGCGAGCAGAGCCTGGGCAGTGCAGACGTTGGAAGTGGCCTTTTCGCGGCGAATGTGCTGCTCACGTGTCTGGAGAGCAAGACGCAGAGCACGGCGGCCGTTGCGGTCCTTGGAGACACCAATGATGCGACCAGGGAGTCGACGCTTGCTCGACTCTTGAGCGGCCATGAAGGCGGCGTGGGGGCCACCGAAACCCAGCGGAACACCCCAGCGCTGAGAGTTGCCGAAAGCAACGTCGGCACCCCACTCACCGGGGGGTGTCAGGAGGGTCAGAGAAGACAGATCAGTGGCGGCAGAGAGAAGGGTGCCTTGCGCGTGGGCGAGGTCAGCGAGCTGACGGAAGTTCTGGATACCACCGTTGGTATCAGGGTACTGAACCATGACACCGACAAGGTCGTCACCGAGAGCCTTGATCTTGTCGTGGGCAGCAGGCGCGGAAAGATCCATGACCTCAAGCTTGATTCCGAATCCCTCAGCACGGCCATGCATGACACGGACGGTGGCGTCGTGAAGAAGATCCGAGACAACGTAGGTCTTGTTGGGGCGCTTGGCGCGGGCCGTAGGCAGAGAGTTCCAAGACATGGTCATGGCCTCGGCGGCAGCAGTACCTTCATCGAGGAGCGAGGCGTTGGCAACAGGAAGGCCGGTGAGGTCAGAGACCATGGTCTGGAAGTTGAGGAGGGACTCGAGACGACCCTGGGAGATTTCAGCCTGGTAAGGAGTATAGCTGGTGTACCAGGCGGGGTTCTCGAGAAGGTTGCGCTTGATGACGGTGGGAATCTCGACGGGGTAGTAACCACCACCGTTCATCCACGTCTTGACCTCGTTCTGCGCGCTCATGTTCTTGAAGACATTGGCAACACCAGACTCGCTGAGCTTCTTAGGCTGGATGGTCTTCTTGGGCGGCAGGAGAATATCCTTGGGGATGACCTGGGAAATGAAGGTCTCGAGAGAGTCGGCGCCGACAGTCTTGAGCATGGCGTCAACGTCGGAGTCGCGGGGGCCAATGTGACGTGCGACAAAATCCATCCAGGGCTGGGGGTTCTCAGCCTGGCTCTCCTTCATCTCAAGGTAGGCCGGATCGCGCTGGAGGGATTCCAGAGCGGCATGGGATCTCCGGTGGCCATCCACCTCAGCCTGGGGAGTCTGTGAAAGCTGGCGAGGGGTGGTGGCGGAAGCGAGGCCGCGCCGGGCGACGAGGGGCACGGATCTGGTCGCCAAAGAGATGGAGTGCTTGAGGGAAGCACCCCGGACGATGGCGATTCGAGAGGCCATTGTGATGAAGCCAAGAGAGCAAGTGATGCTTCAATTGGCGAATGTGTGTGTCGGAGAGTGGGAGGGAGGGAGAAGGAAGGGCGTGTTTGAAAGTGGCGGCCCAGGCGACGGAACTTTTTCTTTAGCCGAGCGCAGCCGAGCATACAAGCAAACGAAGCCGCTGTCGATTGCGTGCGTCACCAACAAGGGCAGCCCAGAGCAAAAGGGAAAGGGGCACGCTGGTGATGGTTTGAAGGACACAAAACTTGGGGGAAGAAAGAGAAGAGAATGTGAAAGGAAGAAAAGTATTGTCTCGAGAAAAGTAAGAGCCGAGCTGGAGGGCACGGCCGGGTACAGCTGGTGACAGACAGACTTGGTTGGCTGTGAGAGCGCGCAGAGGTACGTACTGGGTACTACGGTGATGTATGAGGCATGTATCTATTACCCAACTGGATTGACACAAGTTGCATGGAAGTCTCATGACGAGCCAATAAATGAGTAAATGACCTGAGAATATCCACCTTGGGCGGGTTATCGCAGAGGAGCGGGCGTGGTCAAGACATAGAGGGGTACATGGATAGTACATGATCTGCCAGCCATCACGTACGGGCAAGGAATTGATAACAGAGCTCCAACCAACGCCTTGTGTGTATCAAGGCCAAAGAAGAAAAAAACAGCTAGGGCGGACGATATCGGATGCCACCGTGCCGATGCTGAGCGAGACGGCGGACTCCAGCGAGGCAAACCATCAATGGATTTCCTTTCAGTTAGCGGGGGCTGGCCACTTTAAAGTTGGCAGCCGGTTCCCCATACTGGTTTAACGCTCCAGATAAATGGGTTTCGCAACAGCGCGGCCCCAGGCTAACGACTTTTTGGGGTGTCGACGTGGAGGCGAGATGGGTTGTCGTGTGTCAAGGAATGCAGACTGCGCTGGGACAGCGGCATGGCCTGCCCGCCAGGCGCATGACCAGTCAAGGACTGAGTTTGCATGCTGCCAGACCGGCTCCTCGATCACACAGTAATGTGGTTGGCGGCGTTGGTTGTATCTTGCTGGTTGACGTGAACCTCTCTGCAGAACTTCAATGTGTGGCGTGGCGGCGGCAGCACCAACATCGCACCTGCAAGCCCAAAACGTAACCCCGCTGCAACGCGCTACAACCCCCCCTGGAAATTCCAATGCATGCGAGCTGCAAGCCTTCGCGCTAGGCCACGCTACAGCACTTTAAGCACCTTACGATCCCCTGTATCTCACACCACTGCAGCTTTCGTTGCAGCACATCCAGTGCTGTTCCCCAGCCTGTCATCACCACCACAAATCTCTAGCGCGGCAACGGCTGAAAGGCCAAGAAAAGAAAATGAGAGCTCCTGCGCCCTCTGTACTCTCGAGGTACCACCTGTAGCATCTGCCGCGCCGCGCTGCTCTCGTCTCCGTTTTACGTAACCCGTCCACTGAAAACGCACCATACCGCCGATTTGCCATTGATTTGTATGCCGTATTTTTTTCCCTCCATCAACCCATCCACACATTACGCCGCAAATATGTTTGGAGGATGTGAGTGCGACCACACACCCCGCCTAGCTCAAGCCATTGCCCATTCCCATACTGTCATGGCATTGGGTAAAGACCGTCAAAACCCGCTAACCTGGTGATGCTCCCGCCTCGCAGTCGCTCCCCCCCAGCAGTCCGCCGAGGAGATTCGCGCCCTTGAGGCTGAAGCTACCTTCACCGTCCAGCAGGCCGCCGCCACCGCCTTGATGCTCTACCTCTGTATGCGAAGTTCTTTACAATATGATGCACTCTTTGATGACTTGTTTGCTGACTTGATGAAGCTCCCTTTGCCATTGACATGGTGAGCCGCATCTTTTAAGGCCCTCGCCGGCGCGCACTCGGGCCACGCAGCCTCCCGACCACGACCAACGGAGATCCCCGACTGCGAGAGGTCAAGATACGGCCAAACTATCGACGAATTTACCATTCTTCATCAATCAGCCTTGCGACAAGATAACTCATGTCATTGTAATTTTAGCGATCAAGCGGCGGCGCCATCTGCGGAAGCGATTATGGGCACGCCTATACATTCAGGGGACAACGGGCGAAAAACATTTTCCACATAAAAGGGCATAGACAAAATACCACGAATCTGTACAATACATCTCCAAACTCTAGTCGATTCCAGTACAAACAGGCCAGGCGCAATACCACAATCCGTATACTTTCGAATTTCCAAATTTCGCCCATTTCAATGACCGGACACAATTGACATGTGAAGTTTCAACTCGGCTTCGTCCGACAGCTATTACCAAACAACTATCAGATATGGAAATTCGTCACCGCTCCTTAACAGGCTGCGGTCGACTTCGGGCATTAACCATTCAAGTTACGATGCCACAACATCACAACGCCCTGCTTTCCAGGGTGGTATACCTAGTATCATGTATGACGCGAAATGAATCACATCAACTCAAAAGAACAGAAAATCTGTAGACCACAATCCAATGCATTTCTGTACATTATCTATCCCATTTTCTGAATACGTAGTACAAGGCGATGTTAAATCAAAGGAAAAAGGAAGTGAAATGAAATGAAACCCTCGAGACGCCCAATCCCGTAATCGCTGCACCCTCTGCTTCGGCAGCATAACTAAAGGCCTTTTCACTTTGCCTTGCGTTACCTCTCACTCTCTATACCGCTTCTCTATCTCGTCCGCACATTAGAGCTACGGCTCTCCTCCCACTCTGCGAAGTCTGCACTCAGCGACTCGACCTCTTTCTTCAGGTGATTGAGCTGCTTCTCGTAGTCTTGCATAATCTGTAAACGTAATGTGGGTTCAACTGTCAGCAAACCAGACAGCAATACTGCCCATTAGGGCTTCACAGCAAAAAATACATACCTTCTTTGCCTTGTTCTGCGTCTCTTCATCCAGCTCGCCGCCCTCGGTCACCGGCTGGCTTATATCCTTGCTCAACCGGTCCGCGTAGCCGCGGAGGATAATCAGGCGGCTCCAGAGGTCCTCCTCGCGCGCGCCGACGGCCGGGTCCTGCACCTCGCGCTCCAGCTTCTGCAGCCGGCGGTTCAGGTCATCCTCGTCGCCACTGAGCGCGTACCCGCGGTTGCGCAGGATCTGCACCCGCGCCGCCAGCGCCAGGCACCGTGCGTGGATCGCCGCCTGCCGCCGCCGCGCAGCCAGCGCCCGCACCTCCGTCTCCAGCTCGTGCCGCTGCAGCAGCGCGTCCAGGCTGCCGTTGACCTGGTGCAGCCGCGTGTTGAACTCAGCCATCGCCCGCTTCTGCGTCTTGAGACGGTCCGCCACCCCCGTGTACCCGGAGCACAGCACTGGCATGAACTCCGGGCCCGGCTTGCTCTGCAGCGCCTCCTCCCACTCTCGCGGGTCCTCGTGCGCCTGTGGCTTGTAGAACGGGATGTGTGATTCGTCCACCTTGTTGTAGAAGTAGTGCTTGAACACGCAGCTGGGGTTCGCTGGATCCCACTTCTCTGTCACAAGCTTCATTTGTTCGAGTATCGGTTTCTGATCTATCGTTGCCTGGGTTAGCGTAGCCGCGTCATATCTCTTGCATCCACAAGGACGGTTCCTAGCCATCTTTGCAGAAACTCTTGGAGAGTGCGGTCCACATACGAGGAGTCTCCTTGCCAGGCTGCCACAGCGAGCTAGACAGCTGAGCCTGTGATTGTGATAGCGTCGGCATCTGTTGCGTCTGCTGAGGGGGGGACATCAAGCTGTTGCCGAGCCCGGTGCGCTGCGGTGTGCCTCCCAGTGTTTGGCCAAAGGGATTGCTGGTTTGCTGCGTGGATGGTGTCGGCGTGCTCTGCTGCTGGCCCCAGACGCTGCCGGTCTTGGGTTGGCCGAAGAGCGACATATTGAGTATTGTAAATCGGAAATAGAGCTTTGTATAATGGATTGTCTATCGTGGATTTGCGGTTCGAGTGCCGGTGTCGTGTCGATGAAGCTTCAATGAAGAACTAGCTCCCGCGCATGACCACCAGCGGCTAGAGAAAACAACAACACGGGGCTTCGCGCGACGCACATCCGCCAGTGAATTCAGTCCACAGCCCGGACAGTTATTCAGATGCGTACTGGTGCAGATTGTCCCCGTTCGTTGTTGTCGTCGAGCTTGTCGTATTCTCCGTGAAGTTGCTTTCTTTGGCCTTGTAGAGCAATAGCGCGTCAAGACTACCTCGCCCAAAAAGCCGTGAGTTGCTGCTCTGCCTTTTTTCGCGCTAAGCCGCCACAGCCAATCAGAGCAGGCCAATTCTGACCTACAAACCCGCCATCCTGTCCATCTGCGCTCATTGCCTCGCATTACCGAAAGCCTCAAAACTCCTGCCCGCCTCGAAGTCCCCCATCAGCAGTTGGATCCAGCAGGAAATCGGACACGATGTCGACTCGCAGGCCCCAGTATGTCTACCTGCCGTGCCCATTGAACCCGCGCGCCGCGCAATTGATGCGCCCACGCAGGCTCCCGACTTTCCGAGATCAAAAATTGAGAAAAAGCAACTGAACGCTGACTCGCCACCGCTCTGTGCCAGATTCAACCAGCAGGTCCTCATCGATGCGACCCCTCTCCCCGATGACGTCCCTGCCGTCAAGGAGATTGGTGCCAGCTCCGCCCCTCTTCTGTCGGCGTCCTTCTTCATCGGCGCCCGATGCCGCGACTACAACGACGACTACATGCAGTGCAAGACCGAGAACCCCGGCCGCGGCGAGTTCGACTGCATGAAGGAGGGCCGCCGCGTCACTCGCTGCGCCCAGAGCGTGTACGTTTGCGATCTACTATTGTGTTTGACATGAGCGTTGAGAGCAACGCCGACAGAGGCGAGCTCTGCTCATCTTACGGCCGGCCAACGTTTATTTCCATGCAAGACGGTGACTAATAAGATGCCAATAGTATCAAGGACATTAACACCCATTGCCTGGCTGAGTTCCGCAAGCACTGGGAGTGCCTCGACGACCGCAACCACCAGCTGTGGCAGTGCCGCCCAGCGGAGTGGAAGCTCAACAAGTGTGTTTTCGACAACTTGGTAGGTTTTACGGCCGTATCCAAAGCTACGGTACGCAGCTAACGTATTTCCATAGAAACTTGAGAAGAGGATTCCCGACCAGCCCTCCAACGTCGTTCCCGTCGAGCTCCGTCCCAAGCAGATTTTTGCCGATTTCCCCATCGGCCCCGGTGAGGGCAAGCCTTTTATTGCCGGCCAATCTAAGCAATAAGGAGCTAAAATACCACTCGTCTTTTGTTGTTGACTTGGTACGGGATGTTAAACTATGTACATTTTACTCGTTAGGTTGTCGAGATGAATCAAACTACCTTTTTCATGCATGAGCTTGAAGACTGCGTCACATTTACCTTGCCCAAAGACAATACACGATACTTGCCCTACCATTCTACACTCGCGCTGCAGCTCTCTCGATTTACTCCATCATCCCCATCTAATATAGCTATGCTAAGCTTGTCGAACTATGAAAGTATGCAGCGAACTATAGGGTAGGCTCGTGAGCAACCAATCACGCAGTAGTGCAGCTCGTGCTTGGGGTGTGAGATCTCGCAGGAGAGAAAAATTATCCACGTCATTTTATTGGTATTTTTTGTCGACCTCTCCGTGTCTCGGGTTAGATGTATAATGTCGGGCCGGCCGGCTCTGTCAGACTCGAGGTTTAAGGAGAGGATAAGGAGAGGTGGTAACATGGCACTACCTAGGAGCGAACCAGAATAGGCCGGCAAACAGCAAATAAATTCCCGACAAGGGTAATCGGATCAGACAACCCCAAGCGATCTCAAATAGTTTCGCTCGTAGGTTGCAGGAAATGATGCGGTGGCTGCTTGGCGGCGTTATCTCGCGGCTTACAACAGCAACATGCGGCTGTGGAAAACATGCCACAGAAACAATACAATTGCCACCACATCTGAGCTCTCGCGTGTTACACTCACAGATTCGGGCGAGTTACCTGGATAGAGCCCAATTATGTTTAAACGAGATAATACCCAACTCTGCTTGGGAAAGCTTGCGAGGGGCCTCGATCTCGATGTCCTTTGGCGAAACTGCACTGGAACAAGGAAAAAAAAAAGAGACAGAAGAACGGCAATCCGATGACGACGACTTAAAAACATGTGAAACGCAAAAAGTATATCCAATGCGTGATCTGGGAATCGAACCCAGGGCTCCCCGACGTTGCGGATGGCAACGGAGAATTTTACCACTAAACCAATCACGCTGATCTTATCTGATGAACGGGGAGCAACCTATGCTACCATATACGTATATTTACTTGAGCTTGATATAGCTCTTCTTGATAATACCAGGAGAAACCCACCAAATGACATGTAATGGTATGATATAGGGTAAAATTGGGTTATTTGCAAGCTGTTTGAGTGTTTGAAAGTTTGTAGATGATATGGTGCTGATTTGTAAACCTGTAGCGGCTGCACAAGGTTGAACCAAGCACACTAGAGGATTATGAAGATGTCATGCAGTTTCTAGTAATGCTACGAGATAACATGGAAGTATCAGAGGTACTATCTCAAGGTCACAATTGAATTCCATCATGGCATTGGAGCTGCGAGCCAGTGTCATGTTATGGACAACAATGAGCTCGTTGAAACATGCATCGCTTTCTTCCATGCATTTCATAAATATGCTGAATGGTTTCGCTTCAGACGCCGCTTTTCGTGCCGTAGATAATATCGAGCGCCCCTTGTTTGCTTTGTGTGAAATTTAGACATGAACAAGTATTACTACTGAAGGGAACACCGAAGCTTTGCCTAAACATCATCTTTGGCTGGCTGCCATTGTAAAGTTTGTCCTTCATTATGAGTTATCCAGCTTAGTTGTCCATCGTGTTGGAAATGAATCGGTCGAGAATGAATTAGTGGAGTACGAGCTGGCCGCAGCAGCGAACAACCGCAGCGTCTGGGTAGGCAGTTTCTGGCATGATTCTGCAGCTTTGGACTCAGAGAAGACCGGTTCATAGCGAATGTTATTTTGAGAGGGGCCAGGAATATCTATCACTTCAACGGAGCCTCGGGCAAGTCTGTCGACTTGATCTGCAGTGTACGCGAGACTCGGAGGGCGCAGATTTATTAGTTAGGGTGTAGGAACGTTGAGCTGCGAGTCATGTATGTAGTCGCTACTGGAAATTCGATGCTCTTGGGAATGTATTGGTGCACGAAAAGGTTGAAGGAGCAGTGAAAGTCTCTTTGAGAATCAAAGGACAAAAAAAAGGCGCCAAGTACCACAAAAGATACAACCCAACCGACAAAACGAACCTGGCGCCCTTCGCGCGGCAGTCGCTTATTCTCTCACGGTCCTTAATAACACAAACTTTTACGCCACATGAAATTCCATCAGCCCAAAGAGAAGCGCATGAATGTTGTTTCTCCAGCTTTTCTGCAATTGTCTGTGGTTATGTGTGGAGCTCCGTCCCTTGTTCATCTCATCTTTTCTTCGACGGACGACTTCACCATCCTGGCCCGCTTGGCAATCAAAGTATGTGTTCCCCGGTTCCATGTATATCACACGTGCGGTTATTTCTTCTCAAGAACCTTCCAGATCTGCAAAAAATAGTGCGGATTAGAAAAGGGTCATCTGTTTCAAGTCCCTTTGTCACCGGCCCAGTGTGGCTTGCCAGGGCGGATATTGGTGGTGGAAATCGCGGGTGTGCGATTTCATTTGTTAATTTATTATTGATGATATCTGAAACGCAGCGACGCCCTGCGCGCTTTATTTTTCCGCTATCCCTCTCTCTCTCCCTGTCTTTGGGACATTTTCTCTGATATTGCGCTCTGCTTCCAACCAGCTGATCTCGTGGCGCACAACCACCAACCCAGTACGTAGCGGACCAACCTTACCTTGCCTAGAAGCAGTTGCCCTGGAGGCCGTCTCACACGAGAGAGTGAATGACGTACGTTGTATCACAATTGGAAGTGGTTGCTCCAACAATGCTTTTTTTGGACTGTAGTACAATCTGTCATGCCCAACGGGGGACCTCGGCGCATTTTTAGACATTGTCGTAGTCCTCCGGCGGCACATGCAGGTGCGCATTGTGCGCTCTGCGATGGTATTGACATCAAGTCAAGCCATGGCTAGAATAGTATCCCGGCACGGGGCCTTGGCACAACATGATCTAAGTGAATCATTCCATAGGGGCTTGGCACTGGCAAGAATCCAAGACCTTACGGAGCTGAAAGACAATTTAGGCGAGATACTGTATATCATCCTTGCCGTTGAGACATGAAGAAACAGATAAGAAGGGGATCACATGTGGTTGTGTAATGTACAGTACAGCATTTTGTGCTGTTCCACGGCGATGGGCGGACCGTACTTGATGCTTGTCAACTTGTCAAGTCAATTTAGTATAAGCGCTGAATTGTTTCTCTGCACATGCAGAGGTCATTGAAAGCAGATTTGTCACTGCAACACACAAGGTGTACGTACAGTACGCAATGCAAACACAACCCTTGCGTAGCAAATAGTTATCTTCTTGATAGAGAAATGATGCGCGCCGACCAGCAATCTAGGCCTTGACATGGTCCATTTCTCGCCCACACCGTATTGATTTTGACGATTCCGGCATCTTGGGCCCGACGACGACAGGGTACTGTACAGTACGGAGTGCAGATTGATTTCAACATTCACCACAACAAGCGAGCTTGCCCCTCGCCGGCTCGCCCGGTGTGGGATTCGGTCAGGGGTGGGGTGTGCGTCCAATCTCGCGCGGGCCCCGCCCCCCCCCCCAGGCCATGAGAGCCCCCCGGGCCATGAGAGCGGTTCCTGGCTGTAATTTGCGGCCCCAGTAATATAGGTATATTGCCAAGGCATGTCACCGGGTGACACTGAAGTAGGATGGCAGTTCGACAGTACGATGCTCACTCGTACCGTACAGATGTGACTGATGAAGTTCGGGCCCTTCAACACACAGCATCGCCTCTGTATGTACAACGACTCATATGGCAGGCCAAGGTGACAGGCCCGGAGATAAATTTCGGAGTTCTGCACGAGGTAATGATTGTCGAGATTCTCATGCAAATATTACATCACAGCAATGTACGTGATACAGATGCTTGGCTCACTGACCGAGGTGTCCGGCGCCGGCGCGGCGTGATGAATAACACCAACCTAGTACAATAAATCTACCGAAACGACAAGGATATCGTAAGCGTCTGGCACTCCCATATCCGGCGCTATTAGTGAATATTTCCAGACTGCTTTGTGCTGAGCTAAGGTGGCGATGCTTTCCTTGTAGCGTAGATGTACAAGCCACCGGCGGAGATGTTCTGTTCATCGAGACACACAACAGGCTACTGGTAGGAGGTGCTTTGAGGTTGAGAGAAAATTTACCACTCTGTCTTTTTCTGTACCCAGTTGCTTCAGGGGCCAGACACGCTGTGCCTAGGGATGGCAGATTCGGTCACTGGTGCCAAGGAAGTGGAAATATGGCCATTTGAAATGGCGCTTTGGAACCCGCTTGCCAAGTCGACGTGAAATTGTGAGCCCGGCGGAAGTTGAGCAAGATGAGAACTGTCCGGGGAAAGGTGCCACCGTGTACCAGTAAAGACTCTAGAGTGACGCGTGGGTGAATTTCGTCTGTTCGAGATGGGTTGCAGTATGGAGTAATAGACGACCTCGCTGTGGTTATGTCCTGCAAGGCCAAGTTGTAGATGTTAGTACCGCGTCAATAAGAGCACGGCTTTTCGGAGCACATCTTTCACTTAAAAGTCTCAAGCTTCTGTGTACCAAGATGGCGCATTAATATGTCGCGGCCGGTTTGAGGTTGATGATTGCATAAACTCAGTAGCCGAGAACCACACGCGATCGTCTGAAAAGTCCAACCTACCTTAGCACGCGTAGCATTCCTCTTCTGCGGGCATTCCCGCGGCGGTCATGCATAATTGATGCGCTGGAATGCGGGTAGGTTGCTGGCGAGGTAACACATGATTGGTTCCTAGACGGCGATGCAGCGCGACAGCCGAGAACGAGCAAGTATTGGACCTTTCGGCGCGGCCAAACAAGCAATCTTACACAGGGAAAAGGCCGAAGTGAGCGGGGATGATGTGATAGATCCGGTGCGGGTGCCCGGGCACCAGAATACCTAGGGAACTGCTTGGTACTAAGTTCAGGAACTTGGGCCACAGTGAGAGAAGCACAATAATTGTCTGTGCAGGCTATTGATCATGAAGAGCGGGGACTTGGTGTTGCAAAGGGAGGAGGATATCCAGGTTGGCGGTAGCACGAGGATGCTGGGGAAAAAAGCAGAAAGAAGAAGGTGACGGGAGAGCGGCACGTTACTAATACAGCAATTGACACATGATCAGTCGGTCACAATCAAATAAAGGAGATGAGTTGGTTCCAGTAGCTTATGGCTGTATGAAAAGTGTGCAGATGCTCAATTTTGTACAGTGACTTGTTATAGCGCGAGATAACAAGGGGTAAATCTGGATAGATGCCTAGTCCAAGATAAGACTAACGTCGTTTCAGCATGCTCGACCCTGCTTCCCTTTTCTTACCCCTCCAAGCCTTCGATATTGGCGATGAAGGGAAGGTTGGAGGTGTCCTTGTTCTGAAAAAGGAAATAAAATATTCAACAGTCCACATTAACTGTCTGTTTGATGGTTTCTTCATTGAGCTTTTTTCTTCACCTTTACGAGCGCTGGAGGAGCTGCAAGCCTTGAACGGCAACGGGCTCATACCCCTCCTCTCACCCCCCTGCTGATAATCGGCGCGCCACAGCGGCCCTGCGGGCATCTCGCGGTGAGCATTTGCTGTGGGTTTGATACGCACGAGGAACCGCGGATTGGCATTAAAAATTATGCGGAAAAAAGGCTAAATAATGGCCGAGAACTGGTTCCCCGCTGGTTGTATTTGCACGGAGAGCAATAACTTACTAGTAGGAAATGCAGGCCGCCTCGTTTCACGCCGCGTCCGTTTGATATAAACAAAGTTTTAGTACTTAGCATTGATGGCCCAACGCCTGCACTTTCTGAAACTGTTAGTACCTGGCACCGGCTCGGTGCGTCTTTTTTTTTTTTTTACCTTCTTTTATTTTTCGACGTCGATGATGATCCTCCTAGCCCTATCGCGCTGGGATGTGCCATCCAAATGCCATTTCAAGACCACCCGACAAGCTGTTTCCACTGTCGCTCGGTCTGTATGGCATGATATTCAGCGTAATTGAGAGTTTTATCTGAGAAAAATACCCGTTATTCGCCTGGATCGTTGCGCTGTTTTCCTACCTGCAAGCTGGTCACATCTGTAAGCTACTAAGTATGTATCTGTCTTTTTATTACACGGGGTTGTGGCGCCTGGAACTGCAAGCCATGCTGATATACCCGGTAAAATCTAGGTGCAACAACAGGCAATAAAGAAGAAAAAAGAAATTCCTGGTAAATGAACTACGAATACAACAGAACATTCGACTACCTATGTAAGCATGCGACGCTACGATCTTAGACATGGCGTTCTATCTTGCTGAAGCCTGGAGCCCATGTTGAGCGGCTGCTTTACAAATAGTCGAAGGAATAAGATGATTTCTAACAAACGTACGAAGTAAGCAAATAGAATGAGAATTGTTCGACCTGGTATTGAAACTCGTATTAATGTGTTATACTACTGGGTAAGCAAGTTATGACAGCGTTGCCATGCGATTCGTAGCAGCAGTCTGAATTGCGAGCCTCTTTGTATTAGCACTCAGTGCAACCCTGCCGTTGCCGATACATCCGAGTGACCTCACGGGCCACCATGTTTGCAACCACAACCGAAGTACCTCTCGGGTTATCCACCGACAGTACTAGCGCCAGGGGTAATATCATGGGGTAGATGCACCCCTGGCGGCCGTAGCCAACCAGAGCAGTTGGCGTTGGTGCTAGAGGGATGCCCGGTGGAGCCACACCTGTCTTTGTGCCTGGCTGATGACCATTGTTTTCTGCCTGCCAGCTGCCAGTGGTTTTGATGCCAGCTGGCAGACGGGGATGACATTCACAGCCAGCTGTTGCTAGTGATAGAAATACGACGATGTAGAATATTACTGCTGGATGCATAGACAAAGCATTGACTCTACCTATCATAGATTCGGGTCGTCTCTATAGGGGGTTCACCGTGGCTTGCGCAGCTTGTACCAGTAGCCGCCGTCTGACCCCTGGGCGAATGCCAGCCAGCACATTATTGCCCAACCCAATTACGTTAAAACCAGCAGCAACCAACTTGGCAGGTGGCCGTTTCTACAGACCAGTACGGAGCAGGTAAGCAAGCATTTTCATGGCGCGGGTCTGCCAGCTACCAGAGTGCGTGCGTCCGTTTGTAAAAAGAGAGGGGTGTAGCGAGGTGGCGGCCCCCCTGCAATCTTGCTCTTCATCACACCCCACTCTAAAAGTAATTATCACACACCCCTTCTTTCTCCTCCTTCCCTTCCTTGTCTGTCTTTCCCTGCCTTGGCCCAACCAACTCCTCCAAGCTCCTCCACTTGGCCGCCACTTCAGGCCCTGGCCCGGCCTTCCTTGCCCTGTTCTCTGTTCCCTGGTCCCTGGTCCCGGCCGCCTCCTCGACCTCGTCCTCCCCATCTTTAAACTACAATCCATCTCGTGCCCACCGCTCTCCTCCTCCCGTTCCTCTTCCTACCCTCGTCTGACGCCTCTATCCATAACCCGGCCCTCGTCAACCTCGCTCCTTTTTTTGCCTCTTTTCGTGTCACCCGTCTCGACACTGTCCGCTCCTTTGAAACAGCCTTTTCTTCGTCGCTCTCTATATATCAAGCCACCGTTTTCCCTTTTTGCCTCGTCGAACCTCGTTCCGTCCTGTCTCTCCGACTTGCCAGCTCAAGCTCGACCACTTTCTTTCTTGCAACGTACGCGAACGCCGTCTCGCTACCTACTCTCCTTCATTTTCGTCTATGCCTTCATTTCTCACGCTCCTTTCATCCCTCTAGTTCCGAGTTTCTTGTCAATTGCTGCAACGGCTGGTCCTACGCAAGCTGAATTTAAAATCTCTTGGTTTCTCCCACCGTCAACAACATCAACAATTTCGACGACCAACAACCAAAGGTTAGTATCACGAACCAGTCTGGCCTCACATTTCACCATTGCAGCCCTCTCCCCTTTGTTCCGATCCCTTGAGCCGGCGCGTCTTTAGCTTCTGGTCTACATTCACCACGGCGGTGTTATGCTCTTGTTCTTCGCGCCCTGTCATGCTTCGCCCCGCTGCTAGGCGCAACCATCTACACGAGCCACACCACATCTCGGCAGCCAACCATCTTTGTTCACATGGTGAACACTAGATGACATGACATTGACAACCTACTGCGGCCGGAATTTTAACCTATTGATCGCCACCTCCACGAACGCATTTCTCCATTCCATCCTCCCCAAATCGCCGCCCCGGCAAACTGCCAGGTCTTCATGTCTCATCTGGCATTCCATACATTCCTACACTCGGCACCTCAGCAACAATCACTTATTGGAACAGGCCCGTTCATGGACAAGGCGACAACGACATTAGCCCTTGCGCTCGGCAACCAGTGCATACCGAATTCATCCCAGACGCTTCCCAGCCCCAGCAATTTCTCATATTACTTGCATCGCAACCACTTTCATTTTTGCCGCTTAACTTGTAAACTAACCAGCGAGCGCAGGTTTTCACATTCTCTACACCAACCTTGACAAAATGAAGTCTTCACTTGCTCTCCTCGCCACCGCCGGCGCCGTCGCTGCCATCTCTACCACTACCGAATGGGTTATCGAGGTTGTCACCGTCACTGTTACGGTTGACCCTACCGACTTCGTCCAGGACGCCAAGCCTACCCCGACTCCTGCCCCCGAGCCTGTCACCACCTCGTCGGTAGTTACCACATCCTCTACTCCTGCGCCTCCCCCGAACAGCGCCATTGTTACGGAGCCTGAGTCTACCACCACTACTCAGGCTCCCCCGCCTACCTCGACGCCCGAGCCCGAGCCTGAGCCGACTGTTGTTGAGACGCAGACCCCCAAGCCGCAACCCACGACTACCGCCCAGCCTCAACCAACTGCTTCGCAGGCCCCGCCGCAGCAGAGCCTGGCTCCCTCCGGCGGCTACCAGGATACCGTGGTCAAATACCACAACGCCTACCGCCAGGACCACAGCGCTCCCGCGCTCGAGTGGGACGATACTCTTGCCAGCTACGCTCAAAACACGGCCCAGAAGTGCGTGTTTGAGCATGACATGTAAGAATCCCTCGCAACAACTATTTAGCGCACATGAACATGCTGACACCCTCGTAGGAAACAGGGCACTGGCAACTATGGCCAAAACCTCGCTAGTTACGGTGCCACTGGCAACCTTGGTACCACGGAGAGTGCCGTTGGCAAGGCCATCGCTCAGCAGTGGTACCAGCAGGAAGTTGGCTACTACAACTTCTACGGCCAGGCTGACCCCCCGCCCGGTGCCGACTTCAGCAAGTTCGGCCACTTCTCCCAGCTTGTCTGGAAGGGCTCCCAGAAGGCCGGTTGCTATACACATAAGTGCCCTGCTGGCACCGTCCTCCAGTACGACTCGTTGTTTACCGTCTGCAACTACTTCCCTCCTGGTAAGACGCCTTGCACTTTGCGCTGCTGTAATCATAGACTGACCACTTGCAGGCAACTACAAGGGCGAGTACGGCACCAACGTTATGCCTTCTCTTGGCCTCAAGATCAACGTTTCTTCCTAAAAAGAATTTACAACTGGGCCAACAAGCCCCTTTTCTGGGTATCCTTTACGGGGCTGGCATTGATGAATGAGGCACGAAGGAGTTGAAGCCTCAATGTCTAACGGAACCTCGAGGCGAACTGTTTGGGCGCGCAATGCCGGGACTGGATGGGGTGTTCGCATTTGGGGCAAAATGATCTGACAATTTTTCGCTTCTACATGTACCTTATGCGACGTTGTACTTAGATCCTATCTACGTCTCAAGCTGTTTTTTTCCCTTCTCACTGCGAAGGCTGGCTTGGTCTGTTGGGAGCTTTCTGACGGCTGCTCCAGGCTTCTTTTCTTATAAGACAATTCTTGTCTGTTCCTCTTTTCATATTCTAGGATGTATGTGGCGCGACAAATTTTTTTTTTTGGCTTGGTCTGGCTTGGGAATGGAATGGGTCTTTGCGCCCTCTCTAGGGGCTCCAAAAGCTCTGCACAGCAAGATTCATGTTGGTTGGAACTCAATGACACTCTGTTGTCTGGACAACTTTGTATGAGCTGCACTTGCTCTTCTATTAGCTTAGCTAGCCTTTGAACGAATTATGGAACTTGCTATCTCGCGCTGGGGGCTTCTATGTACGTGTTGGCTCGTCGGCAAAGAAAGGCCCAACATTTAAATACAACTGATCGCTGTCAGGACTGTGCGAAAACGCAAAATGCGACAGTTTCTTAGTCTTACATTAATTTTATTCAAGAAGACGGTTTCTTAAGATGGCTTGAACTAAAGGTCTTTACCATGTTCTTTGTATTGACGACAAGGCTGGCGAAAGCTGCCACATAGTTGACCAACTCTACCAACTACAAGGAAGGATCTGCCTTGATATCTCGAGAAACAAAAATTAGAATGAAACTACAAAAAAAGAAGGCAAAAAGAATAAACATACACCAGCCAGTATTCGCGGGTCGTCACCGACCTAACTACAAATCTGCCGGTCAGTAGCTTAACTTTAGTGGAGGAGATGGAACATCTTATACACTGTAATAAGGACAATTAGCCGTAGATACCCCGCGCTCTCCACTTCTGTCCGTCTATAGGCCCCGACCGCCGTTCGGAACGGTCGGGCCTACCCAACAAGTACTCTCCTCCGCAGCCAGCTTTTCGCGACTCAAGATCAGGGCCTACATGGAGACTTGCCAGCGTCTCGGAAAAATTTGCGGTTGTTCCTGGTTTGCTACCCCGCACCCAGTAGTTAGTCCTAGTTTGGACTAGTGCATTTCATTTGCTACACCTCACATGGTAGTTTTCAGAGTTCTATGGCCTCGGTCTCGTCGGTTCGAATCCCATCCCTCGCCGTTTACTTGACTAATAGTTTTACACTTTGCAGCTGCCAGTCTGGCAATAACGAAACTCTTCTTTTTCCTTGATAACCTTCCTGGCCCCACGACGAACTCTGTTCTGCTATTTAACCACTCTACCACCGCTTGATGCCAGCCTTGTCCTGACAATTCTTCGCCGCTTGTTCCACGCAACCTGATCCTCACAGCTCGTTTCTCGCCACCAACTTTACCTCCCAGAAAAGCAGTATATCCAAAATGAAACATCTCGATAAGCCCCGAGGATTGAAGATCCGGCACTGGCGTCAGCTTTATGACGCCTGCATTTCCAACCGCGACGCACTGACAGCAGCTGTTGCGGAAAATGCCACTTTTGTCGTCCTTGACGCTGAACCGTGGGCCGAACATAATACGAAGGCTGCAGATATTGGCATGTCTATTTTACAGATGCCCGACACCCCTATTACGCTGTGCGACACTCCTAGTCCGCTGCCCGAGACGCTCAGCGAGTTTTCCGAATCCTGCCGAGTTGAATCACACCGAATTCTCTTCTCCGATATGACGAGAAGCGCAAGGCGGGAAGCGCACAGGTTTGGAATTGAGCACGAAATTCCTAGTCTCGATGCCGCGAAATTTATCACCAGCCTTATCGATACATATAGACAGAAACACAAGCTCGATTTAGTAGCCAGTAGCGAACAGATCGTATTCGTCGGGTTTGACGTGCGTTATGAGTTTCAATTACTCTCGACTATATACACGACTTTAACGAATTACTTTACATCATGGCTAGATGTTCAAGAGCTGGCGCGACTTTCAAGCAACGTCGATAAGCCTGGTTTAAGCGAGACCTTAAAAGCTTGCGGGTATGGACGGCAAGCTTTAACCGACTTACACAGCCTGAACGGCAGACACAACTCTACCACGGATACGGTTCGTGCAGCCGCGATAGTATACCACCCCTTCGCCTGGGATAGCAACCAACTACTCCAGATAGTAACGTCTAATCGAAACGCTAAACTCCTCGCGAAGAAACGTGTGGGCTTGTGCGGCGTAAGCGACCCGAGGATATGGGTTGGAGCGAGGCCGAAGCCGAAAGAGCTTTACCCGTCTACTATAAGAGTTAAGCGATCCACTAGGGAGGTCCTAGTCTCAAGGACCTTAGTCAAGATGTTTGCAAAGTATGAACCCGTTGCCATTGGGATTGCCAAGCAAAACACAAACCGATACGGATGGGTCTGCCTACCCAGTCTCAGCGCCCTTAATCATTTTCTCGAATCTGTGAATGGTTCCGTGCACCCAGAAGGCGGCACTTGGATCGCCGTGTCGGACTACAATCCTCAGATCATTCCCGCAAAAGATAGGCGCGAGCTCAAAGATCGGCTGCATGCAAAAGCTGATGAGAAGCGTGAACAACGCCGACTGAAGCGGCTGGCCAGCGAGACTACTCCATTTTTGAGCCCGTAGCTCATCCTTGGCAGTAAACTCTGTCGTGATGGCGTACCACGGGGAGGTAAATCTGCACCGGCGTCAGCGCCAGTGCTCAAGAAGCCTTCTAGACACATGCACACACACACACGAACACGAACAACCCTCTAGCAAAAGAACTGTATCCAACCTTCATCCATGTGCCTACGTGCTTAGTTGTCTACGCAGCTGTATAGAAGGTTTCTTGGTGCGTTATTCGTGTGTGCGTTTGTATGTGCGTGTGTATGTGTGTGTGTGTCTGTGAAGGAGGGAGCTAGAAGTATAGGAGGGGGTGCAGAGACCAAACGCAAAAAAACTTTTTTTGTAGCTAGCCGGCTATCTGACTACTTTGATAACCAGACAATTGATAGTTATTAAAGTTTTTCATGTCATGCTAGGAAACGGGCTTCCATCAGGACAAGCCCACCCTCTTATGTAGACAATGAATTAACATGTCCGCTACATCCACCATTAAATTAACTACTTAACGCTGTAGCAGTTTATATCTTATATTTATTTCTACATTGATTATTCCTTTTACTTATAGCTAGGTGTGGACTTCACGGAGTAGAGGGTTATAATAGCCAGCTCAGAGCGACGTCGGCTTCTAAAATTAACGGTCTAGATGCCACTGAAAATGGAGGCACACAACACTGAAAAACCAGCAATGGTTGCCCAATTTCGAGAGCCATTAGACTGTGGGAAAGATCTTAACTGGACGCGGTGTTCTCTACTGCCTATGGCCGTATGCATCAGACTAGGGGGACAAATCACATTATCTGGAGTAAGTTGTCGGTCTATGAAAGATACTTGTTCTCGGCGGCGAGGAAAAAAGCGCGGTAGTTCAGAGGCAGTTCAGGAACTGCGGGCGATGAGGAGCAGAGGACAAGGCCTGGGATAGGTCGGGGCAAGGCTACACAAGGAGAGACACTTGACGGCCATGCTATATTCGCTTGCATTGAATGACGTAGAGCTCTCCGTTGGCCCTGGAAATGGCTGATCTAAGAGCCATGGGCCGCGTCCTCGAGACTTAGAGTGGCGGATAACGGCTCGTTGGCAAGATGTAAGCGAGAAGAGACGAGCAGCTTAGAGTTGGAAAGCAAGTGACTACAGAGAATGACCGCGTCCGGATAGGGGTATCCCCTAATTACTGAGCATATCAATGCTGGAGATACCGCTCAATATTGTGCCTGGAGAGGACAGGATGATGGGCGAGAGAGGGACGATAACACGGGCTGGGCGGGTTGCCGTCGTCTGATTTGAAGTACCCCACATCCAGCTTCCACAGGAATTGAGCAGGAGTCTGGAAACACACAGAAGTATTCTAGCTATAAGAATAGAAGACCTTCAAGGAGATGCTGAGCCTCGCCTGTGGTCACACCGCTAGTATATACTTGGATGGCAGAGTTCGGCTTCTGTGTCGGGCAACGGCTGTATACTCTGGGGACTTGATCTTGAATATTTAGTATGTACGTTGAAACTCATAAAGAGATGCAGCCGAAATGCATCGATTAATATTTGGGTCTGCTACGTATGGTGCTTAGCTGTTGCGATCCCAATCAACTCCTTGGGGCCTCGCAGCCGCAATGATGGACGACTTTACGGGGAGAAGAGTTTTTTTGGGACTTTTGAGATATGAGTAACAAGAAAGGCGATCCTTATCAGTTCCCATGACCACATACACTTTGGAAAGCTCATTATACATACATATATAATATGATATATTGAAGCTGCTGTCACGGGAGCGGTGCTCGTTCGTATCATCTCCGGGACACGGGAACTCCGAAGCATCATAAGCTAGAAGCTCAACGCTCCTAAAAAGACTGCAACAAAGCAAGAAGAAATCTTTTATGTGCCTGTCCTACTTTAGTATGGCTATCAGTCTATCTTCTCATCTTACTGTTTCGGTCTTGGCTGCAGGAGCGAAGTGTCTTCGTGTAGAGAGGAGCGAGCCCTGGGCGGGAACTCGAGCTTCATGCGCCCTTGCCAAGGCAAGTTTTGGCCAAATCTCTGGCAACAATCGGTACGTAATCTACGGTCAAAAAGAGAGCAAGTGGCACTCCGCCACGGGAAAAGTAACGTGCGGACGCAGTTTGGAAGAGTAGGCGGTGCCGCGACGGTAGAGGCCGCCAGCATCAACCCTTCAATATTATTCATGACGTTGTAATATGCATGCAAACAAAGACAGGAAAATTAATCTGAAAAACATGAATATCTATTTTTAGGGTTTACTCTTTATAGTCGAAACCATTGTAAGCCTACAAGGGAAAATGCCACCCCTCGACGCGCTGGCCCTGCTCCGGTCTTCCAGCATATGCTTGCACTGTCTCGCCGCATCTGAAATGCTAATCAGGTGACAGACATCCCAGCAATAAGCAAGAACAATAAGCAGTCCTATAAATACATTCAGTTGGCAAGAGGAAAAGATGAGCCTCAACATGCCCCCACATCGTCGACGTGTTTCAACCCCGCGATTGTGCGATGGGCGGGATATAAAAAGCAGCGAACCAACCACACGCATCTCAGACAAGAACGTGATGGCATGAGGAACCATATGCTAAAAATGGCCGGCATGAATGATCACCACGTGCTAAAAAAAAAGGAACGCATAAAACAGGTGTCCATGTAGTAACAGAGGTGGTGGAGGCGAGCGCTTTCTGAAACGCATGATGCAGAAATGCGATGGCTGCGGTATCGACAATGGGAGATCCATGCACCAAAGAAATCCGATCACGCATTGATTCATGGGAATCATCTACGGGAATGGACTTCGTCTATGCGTGCAGTTTCCGTTGGCGACGACGACGACGCAGATCTATCAATGGTGGCGTTCTACTTACAGTGCTGGTTATCACGATTCTGCCCCAGACTATGCCTTCTTACTAAACAAGCTCCATGCATGGACTTTTTGGAGCGCTAATAACCCCTCCTCACCAAAATGTGTACGTAGGCAGATTGTGGCTGAGGAGGCGCGCGTGTGTCGCCGCTGACTGGGGGATGCGAGCTACGGGATTTGCAATGTCCAATGCCGATTGTTGAGGAGGCTGCTTCTATGAAGAGGCCGATCTGCATGGCATGTCACGCGATGGCCATGCCCTCTTGTGAGGATCATGCGTATCGGAGGAGATCAATAATACTTCAATACAATGGAAAATCCATCGTCTGGCCTTATCCCACTCAGGCAGCTCGGGTGCACTCGGCGACAGGGACAGGGACGTTGTGTGCAATGGCTCAGAGACGGTCGCTCCACCACCACCATGCTTTGCATAACTTAGGGCTGATATCCAACTTGGTTTGCATCGCGACGGAGAATCGGGTTAGTTAATGGTCAGTTGAGAAATAGAGGACGGTGTTTGTTAGCCTTGCTGGCAGCATCGATTGCTCGCTCGCTTGAGCCATGTGTTTTGGTGGCGTCTTCTCCCCTATCCAGCCTTTCCACGCGACGGGACAGACTGGCTAGGGTGCTGACAGTCTGGGAAGACTAGGCGAATCATGGCGCTGCGAAGAGAGGACCGTGCCAGCCTAACGCATGGCACCTGTGTGTGCGTCGTTTATTCTGAGCCTCACATGGCCTAGTTGTAGACGCTGGAAGGGCATGGCAAAAGCTGGAGTAAAAGCTGAAGGATTCAAGGCTCACTGATGATAAATACGCGCGGGGCGCTGGCAGCCTCGTTTCACGATGATAAAAGAAGTCGTGACACTCTCACATATGGTTACCTGAGAGTTGCGATTCAATGAACGATGGGCCGTCGAGTTTCATGAGAACATGCTTGAGGCCGTCGTCGGCGCATGCCCGCTCAACCGTCAGGTTGCTCAACATGACAGCTGTCAGCTCTATGGAGCTTTTGCCAAGCCAGCCAAATGTACAGGAAGTCTCAATACGAAAACTATGCTTAAGCATTACGCAGTATAGACGTAAATGTGTGAACTTACGCTTCGTAATAAGCTCAACTCGCATGAGGAACCGACGAATTCGGAGCCTTCCTGATGTGTATCGTAGCCTCGGGTCAGCATCTTGTTTGAACCTACAACGGGATCCACACGTGGACGGGGAAGCATAGCGGCGGCAGGCAAGAAACTGAAGTCAGCTTTGAGCATCGCCCTGATCGCGAAAGAGGAAGCGTGGTCGAGTATGATACACGGGATGTGGGAACGCTGTATTTTGCATCAACGAATCCCATGAAGCCTGTCCAACATCCGCCAAGCGAAAATGAGTAACCCTGATCGGCGAATGGACAAGCTTGGCCCATTCGCGAAGGAGCAGAAGAGAGACCAAAGAAAACTCGCCAGGCCGACAAGGATGTGGTCACGCCCAGTTGCTGTTGACGGGCATCGAATGCGATAGCTGCACCCTGTCAAGCATCGTCGGCCACATTCCGGAGCCTAGCTGACATAGAGAGGGGTTAAAAGATAAATGCAAAGTGTTTCAGCCGAGGATCATACAGGTGCATGGAACCTTGCCGGATTGAACAAAGATACATCGCTGCGCCAACGAAGCATGGAATCGGTTTAGATCATGTTGGTGTTGCTTTGTACAATCACTTCCCATAGTTGGTATGAGCTGAATGAGCAAGTACAAATTGCGCAGGCGAAAAGCCGGCGAGTTCGAGGAGTTTGCTCCATGGCAAGGCGTGTGAGTCTGAGGATAGATGAGCAGCGATTGAGAGCTTGGAGAAGTCGCGGAGCCTGCTTGTTTCGCACGGAGCCTTTCATCGTGGTTCGGCAGAAAGTCTTCATTCAGCCGCAGCATGAGGCTATAGAGCTGAGAATTACTATGAGACTAGTTCGGTGGTCCATAGGTCAGGCAGAACGCCACAACTTCAAATACGGCCGGCAAGATTGGCCCCGGCTTATTCTCCATGCCACGAGCCTTGTGCAGTCTCGCCTGACGGTGGTGAGAAGAATTTGAAATTGAGCCCGAATAGCTTCAATGAAATCTCACGAATGGCTTGAGATATCCATTTGCAAAAAGAAAATAAATGCCATTTCCGTTAGCATTC